CTTATTCTGTAAAATTAAGATATTCACATTGGCAAACATGAATGCAGATACCAATATGTCTGTGAAAAGCTCATATTGGCTGTTTTTCACCAATTTATAAATAAGCTGCAGCAAAAAAACTTCAAATATTCTCTGGTTGTAGGTGCTGATCTTAATCAGTTATTTAAACTCTTTGGGTTTTATTTAATTTATGGCTCAAACAAACTGTAAAGATGTCATGCTTGGCTCTGACTGATGGGCACTATTTATTTATTTTGGCAAATTTTGTTGACTTACGTTATCACTGCATTTCATTGACTTTTATCAACAGACTGATCTGATCAACTGGCTTTTGGTTAAACCAAGAGAGGCAGAGAAAGTAGACCAATGGATACAGTGGCATTTTGGGTTCAGTTACTTTCAGTGGAATTTCCTCGGCTGGGATCCATCACCTCCCAGGGGAAAGCCATTGTGCTTCCATACAAACACAACCACATGCATCAAGTACATGTGCACACACATTCATGTGCACATGCACAACCACACACTGATTTTAATGCAGTTTACAGAACTGTGTCCCATTATGAGTTGATCTTATCACATTAGCAAGAACACAAGTTTTTTTTTCACAAACACGTGATGTGATCAGGGGAGAAGTAGCTGCACTTGGGACCCAGAGCTTTTCTTGGATGGGGAAATATGCTGGCGCAATCACGGCTCAACATGAACACATCACTTCTACAGAGTTCTGTGACTTTGAGCTGCTGGCTGCCAAAGTGACTGATGATCTGCTGACCAGTGGTCCCACCACCAGGCACAGCTGACTGCAGTAAAAATGCGGCCTAATATCAACGTGTTCTTTGTTGGTTACAAATGTGATTTAAGTTGGAATGTGGGATTGGTGAGATCCAGCCACGCCGCTGCTGATTGCAGGCAGGGCTCCTGCTCCTGCTGCAGAGTCGTTTAGCCGTCAAGACGAGTTTTCAGTATGACGCCACTGAGTTCACTCAGGATGATGGTGAGGGACTGGCCTGAAACATGGAAAAACGTGAGCTTCACAGTCAGAAAGTCAGCAGCCAGAGCACAACAGGGATGGTGGTCAGTCAGCTGAGGGGCTCCCTTGCCCCTTAATGCCTCACTGACTCCCCCCTATCAGGCTCTGTTCTAGCCCGGTGCAAACCTCAGTAGAAAGATAACCAAGTGTGTGTGTTTGTGTTTGATTGTGCACTTAACTTTTTAGTCTTGGGAGAATGGAAAATTCTGTTGACAGGCCAGTAGGGAAAGCCCCACCCAGATATAAGAGCCATAACACATGCATGAAAACACACACGAACATGCACGGATGCATGAGTGCAAATAATCCATTTGTTAAGGTATGTGAGGATGCTGCGAGCGCCATATGTGAGGCGAAGCCTGACTAAGGGCGGATATGGAAAAAGGTGGAAGGATTTTTTCTGTGTGTGTACAAACATTTTTGGAGGTAATCCAGGAAACTCTTCTGACCCACTTCCCGATGGGCTTCCCTCCTGTTCACACCAAGGCTGTTGTTGTGCATAAACTCACCGGTCGTTGAGGAAGCCAACATTTCTAATGTGTTCCAAAAGTAACTTCACTGACATGAAATCACTTGCATATGAGAGTAAAAACCGACAATACGTTCCCATGCTAAGATGCATTTTTTACTGCTGCATCTACGATAATATGATTAGTGGGTTTGCAAAAGTGGAGCAGGAACACAAAAACAAGGGTAACATTTTTAGGTTAGAAGTTTCTGTCTGTTTTGTGATCATCTCTGGCTAGACTGTTGATGAGGGGTTGAGACGTTGGTGGAGATTGTGTGTGTGTGTGTCTGTGTGTGTGTGTGTGTGTGTGTGTGTGTGTGTGTGTGTATGTGCATGCGTGTGTGTTTGCGTGCGTGTGTGAGAACGTGTGCGATTGCTCCCAGATGTACAGGACATGGGTGGATCCCCCAGCTGTACGCAGTTCACAGAGAGACAGGGAGATGACGGATGAAATGACACCACTTTCACCCTACAGCTGTCCGCCTCTCCCTGTTTACCTCAGCTGACTGTTTAAGTGCTGTGCTTGTATTTGCATTATTTCACGCTCAGATCTTTGTGTTTTTTGTGCTTGCTCTCCTCCACTAAGAGCTGTAATAAGCAGGTATTATGTCAGGTGGATTTCCTGTGGCAGTCTGACAGCAATAATGCATCCAGCTTAATCTGATGAAAAGAGAACCTTGAGGTCTTTACACAGTCTGTAGATAATATGGGCGCCATGTAAAAAGTTTCCATAACACCTGCAATTGATTTTCCCTATGTTGGATGTATTTCTTTGTAGCTGTAGGTTAAGCAGAAAAATGCAGTCTTAAAATAGATACAGAACAATGGCAACTGGTTTGGGTTTGTTGTGCCAAAGTTGAACATTACTGAAAGTTGTGGAAGAAGAATTATTAAAAAATCCTGCTTAAAAAATTTAGAGCAAAAAAGATTGAGCAGAAAATACAAATATTTAAAGATTTGTAAATATAGTTGTACTTGAGTATCAAAAGGAAAGTGGGTATTCTTGAGAGTGTAAAAAATTATACTTTTAAAATTGGTTTGTCAACTTTCTTACGTATAGTTCGATAAAAAGAACGACATCACTCGAGGTGGAGCATAGTTGAACATCTGCCTCGAAGCAGGAGGTAAGATTTAGCCTGGCTCTGTAAAAGTTAGCACATTATATCTTGTTTGTTTAATTTGAAGGAAAATGACCTTTTGTTCAGGGCTGTTTAGGACAGACTGACTTTTAGACTGAGCCACGTTCTAGTCTGCTACTGTGTGCTTATCTATCTGGCTGCTGGAGCTAATCTTAATTTATTGTATTTCCCAAAATATTTCTTAAATGTTGAAGCCGCTCCAGCTGCTGGTCTGTTAAAGTTGTTTTACTACTTTGTGTCAATGCGTCACATGATCTAAAATTTGTAAATGTAAATGTGTTTATCCTGCAATTTTGACTGGGTAGTTCTCAAATTGATGTAGTGGATTAAGAAGTAGGCAACAATTCCCTCTTAAGTCCTGGTGTAGAAGTTGTAGAAGTATTCAGTCTCCAGTGGAGCCTGAGCAGGAGGGAGAGGGAATGAGAGATGACCCAGTTCTGTTTCACACAGCGCTGGAGACAGAGCGACCGTGGAGGCTTTGGTGCACGTGACGGGTTTGGGCTGGGCCTCGGTCCACACGGGAAACGCACAATGTCTCATTTGTTTTAAACGACTGCACTGTTGGAACTAGTCTCCCTCTTTCCTCTTGCTGTCTGTTATCTGCCGTGAAATGTGGAAATGATTTTTGCCTCTGGATCTCGGCCAGATTCTTTTGGGAGGGATGAGTTTTCCCCTCTCGCCTTTTTCTCTCTGTCCCTATCTCTGTTTCGCCATCTTCCAGTACCTTCACCTGATAAGATTCTGTGATTTTGTTGAATCCGCAGGGAGGCTGCGACTAAGGTGTGGTGTTTGGATAGAGGATGAAGTGAGGGGATAGATGCATAGATGCAAGCAGAGGGATCGAGGGAAGAAGGTTTAAACCAGTTTGAAAGGGAGGAGAGATTAAGAATTTGGTCGAGGGAGTTTCTTCCCACTCTTGAGCTCATATTTATGCGAAGGTATTTAGTTTTAATTCTACACTGCTGTAGCGAGTGTGGAAAACACCTACTGTGAGGAGACATGCCCTGTCACTCAGGAGTTATTCCCCACTTTGTGCATTAGTAGAAAATTCGTTTAACAAATGTGTCATTTAACCTCAAAACACAATACTGGTAACTGAAGAACTGATGATCATATATGTGCACCAGACTGATTTTTCATCGTCTGCTTGTCCTTGCTTACTTTTGCTCATGTCTTTTACTCTCTGCAGCCGCCCACACAACTTTAAAAGGTTTTCCAGACCTCTTCCCTATCTCTGCTTTTCTCTGTCACACACACGCACACGCACGCACGCACACACACATACACACACACACTTACAATGCACCTGAGAGCCAGACAGATTAAAATGCCAGGAACAGACAATGCATTCTTTATGGAGTGTGTTACCGTCGTCTCTACAGCACTTTAACGACACACAACATATGTGTGTTTTCGATGTCATGCTGAGGATCCTATTTTTCAACGTACTGTTTGTGTGTTAGTGGCGGTTTTTTAGTTGGTTTCTAGGTTTTTGAGCATTGGCTTAAACTTTCTAAATCTTTTAGTTCAAGAAGTTTTCTGTTTCTGTTCTCTGCATGTGTTCAAGTGGCTACCAAACTTTACTTATTTGCTTTTCGTTTGTACTGGTAATAAAGAAATAATATAATGTTTGCACACAAAATAATCCCTGCTCTCCCTCTGCAGACTATCGCACTGGGCCGTGTTTTGCCTCCGTGAATAACCAGATGTGTCAAGGCCAAATCTCAGGCATCGTGTGCACAAAGACGTTGTGCTGTGCTACAGTGGGACGGGCATGGGGTCACCCCTGTGAGATGTGTCCAGCCCAGCCTCACCCCTGCAGAAGAGGGTTCATACCAAACCATCGCACTGGGGCGTGCCAAGGTAAAGTCTATCCCTCAGTGTTTTCATCTCTTTCTTTGTCTCTCTGTCATTACCACCTCCCATTGTTAAGTAAAGTACAATTTCTATTCTCTCTGCCCATTTTAACTCCTTCTCCCTCATTGTCTGAATTCACCGCTCTGTCATCCCCTCATCTCTACCCACCATCCACTCTCTAGAGGATTAGTTCTAATTGGGTTAAATTGGGGTGGGTGGCAGTGCCTCCCACATGTGTATGGAATGCCCACGGACACCCGCTGCGGTGCGACTGTCAGAGTCAGTAACACGGGTCAGTGGCGGTGCCACGTGGGAGAGCTCATTTCTGGTAAGGCGGCCCTCTGCCTGCGCGCTCCAGACCCAACAACATCAGAACCTCTGCAGGGGAGGCAGACCTGAGCCAGGACCCCAAGGAACATGGAGTTTTCAAGCTTGAGACCTACGTTTTATTCTGTCAAATCATTAAATGCATTTCAAAGTAATCATTAATGTAACTTACAAAGTCACAGTCAAGGTTTTTCCTGTAAAAGCTGTTGGGGAGATGGATTGTCTGACAAATCCAGTGTGCTTGAGCCACTCTGTAATGATGTTATACTTTCCCTCTGTATGTATAATATTCATATGCTGCGAAACTACTAACCAGTCTTTGACTATAGTCATTTCAGTGTTTTCCTCTCTCTCTTCCTTGGTCGACATAGCCTTTAATTTCTGTTCCTCCTGCAAAAGACATTATTCTCACTCTTTCTCTTTTCACTCATGATTCTGTTTATCGCAGGAAAGTCACAAGCAAACTGTTAAAAACATAAATAGTCTGTATTTATCTAGAGATTCTCTTGTCTTACATCACTCAAACACATCACTCACACACTACTGGTGAGTGATGTACGAATGTGTCCCCAAGGACACTTCTGCAGGCGGAACAGGGGAGACTGGAATTGAACCACTGACCCATTAGTTAGTGTGATACCCGCTCTACCTCCTGAGACACAGCCACCGCCAAACAGAGCTAATTTAAAGCAATGCATGTGCAAGATTTGTGTGTTTATATTAGTGTCTGAGTCTATTTCATCTAAATGTCCTTTTCTCTTCTTTTCTATATGAAAGGAATCAGTGTGTTAATGTGTGTTAGGGGCTGTTCATTGATTGTATGCTCCGTATTTACAGATGTGGATGAGTGCCAGGCCATCCCTGGCATCTGTCAGGGAGGAAACTGTATCAACACAGTGGGATCCTTTGAATGTAAATGTCCCGCTGGGCACAAGTTCCACGAGGTCTCACAGAAATGTGAAGGTAAGAATCTCACTCGTATTATAACTGTGAAGAGTCGAACTTTCAGTGTCGGTCTAGATGACAGAGCAGACCTCATAACTTTATTTAAAAATTTCCTAAGTGACATATATGAAAGTAGAGTTTAAAGCCACAACCGGATTGGCTGTGGTTAACTTCACCTCAGTCGTGGTGTTTTAATTATTACTTTGTGGGGAAAGACCACACATAAGCCACTTTGCCCGTCCCTGGAAATAAGTTTAATTAAAAACGAAGTAGCACTCAGCTTTCTCCCAGTAATTCTCTACAATACTTAATTGTGAGGTTTGGAAGAAACGCTGTTTTCACTTGTTTTTCTTCTCTGTTCATGTGTCAACACAAGACTGAGTAACTTTTAAAGAAGAAATAACACATCTTTGAGTTATTAATTGCACCACTGCTTGTTTTGCTGCTACGACCATAACTTGCCTGGTTTGACCTCGCTGGTTTTTAACTCTTCTCCACTTTAACCACTGTTACATTAGTCAGGCATTTAAAAAAAGGTGAAAACTGCTTGTTAGCCAGGTATATCCATGCACAATATAAATCAAGAGAGTTGTAGTTTTGAAGAGATTTCTTGCTTTATAATTATGGCCACTGAATGTTTTTTAATGTTTCTGACTCAAAATGGTTTAATAAAATCCGTCTCTCTGCAGCACTTTTGTTTTTCCAGAAATGAAAACTCGCACTTAGCCTGCGAAAAACATTGTCTCATTAGGATATGAATTTGACAACTTCCAGACCAAGTTTAACTGTGGTGAGAACACACTGAGCAGGGTTTTTGTGGCACTCACATGCACAGTGAAATATGTTCTATTTTATGCCCAGACGTAATTGCCGGAAAACGTCAATACTGTGTAAAAGACATTTTAAAACCGTTTTTTTTTCGCATGGGAACCTGGTTAACGGTGCTAAGAGAAGAGCAGCCACAGAGACCCCTGGCTCTAATATCCTGTGACAATGCTTAATTTCCATTGTCACTGCCAACATGTGCTTTAGTCACCCTTTCTCATTTCAAGTTATTTTTTTGTTAATTTGCTTTTTTTGACATAGACCGTTCCTCTCCTCTCCTCAGATCTGGACGAGTGTTCAAACATTCCAGGTCTATGCGGTGTAGGTGAATGCTCTAATACTGCTGGTAGCTTCTTCTGCAAGTGTCCCCAGGGGTATCACTCCTCTTTGGACGGATCCAGGTGTATAGGTGAGTCCTCCTCCTCCGTCATCCTCTGGGTCACACCTCTCCAAAAGGAATAACAACTGCATTCTTTTTGCTTTGGTTCATTGTTCCTAGGATAGGTAAAATATGAGACAAAGCAGCTCAGGAAAAAAAAAAAAAAAGAAAGTGCTGCCTCATTCTCTTTCCTTTTTCCACCCCATTTTGGTTCTTCTCCCTTCATGGCTGCCTCTGAAGGCAGAAAGAACAGAAAGCTGTCCAACATTCCAGCTGGTAGAATTTAGGTCAGTAGTCACTTGCTTGTTTCTAGTTCCACAACAATGAGATATATTCTCCTCACACTGAGGAGGGCACATGACGAATGAGGAGAGAGGAAAAATCCTCTTGAGCTCAGGTGACTTTGATTTTTAGATCATGGCTACTTCCTTCTTTCAGTTTGTGGGAACAGTGTGTGTATGTGTGTCGTATGTGTGAACACACACGCACACACACACATACACACACACCCACTTGTGTCTCCATGACTTCAGAGGACATTACATTGCCTTACATTGATTTCCTGGAGACTTATTCCAACCTTAACCATAGTGACTACTTGCCTAACCTTCACCCAAACCTAACCTTTAACTACCCTTAGAACATGTCTGAACTTCAAAGTGTAATAATTTACACTATGAGGACTTGCTTTTTTGCCACACACACACACACACACACACACACACACACACAGTCAGTTCAATCTGACCCAAACAGACCAGAGAGAAATTTTGGTCAGCATAGTTCATTAGATGTACACTCACATGCAAAGACACACACACACACACACACACACACACACACACACACACATACACACACATATGCATGCAAACACAAGCTCACATCATTACCCCCTCAGGAGAGGATGTTTGTGAGGAAGGAATGTCTGAGCGTCTAGTTCCAGAAAACTGTTTCGCCAAACATTTTAGTTTCTTTCCCATGCAGCAACACTCAGGCTTAACATCAACTTCGAACCCTTAAAGGGGCCAACTGTTTCTCCTCCAACCAGCTCTATGCTTTTCTGACATGTTGTCAAACTCAAGCGAGCAGTCAGTAGTGTAGCATGTCAGCTTGTCCGTGTGAATGCGCTGGATGGGCTGGGTGTGCAACAAAACATGATGTATTTATATTAATAGGAACCTGAGTATCAGTAATGCTGGTGCACCGTGCCAGAAACTGCAGGATATAGGAAAGGTTCTTACAAAATAGGAAGCAATGACTTGGAAATGGCTTCCAGTTTCCAAATGATGGAAAATCTGAAGCAACAATGACCTTTTGATTGTACTCTTGCCAGTTTGCTCAATAAGCAGACAACACATGCAGTGTTCCATACAGTACAGTTAGTTAAACTGACCGCATGCTGTGTTGTTTCCCACAGATGCTCGTGGTGGCTACTGCTATGCTAGTCTGCTGAACGGGCGCTGCGCCAATCAAAACTCACAGCTGTTGACCAAAATGCAGTGCTGCTGTGATAGTGGACGCTGCTGGTCTGACGGGTCCACGCCTGAGATGTGCCCCATTCGTGCAACAGGTGGAATCTCTCACCATCACATGGCCTCAACTATGTGTCTCATGTGTCAACACAGGCTCAACATTCTGTTGTTTTTCCATTGTTCTCATTTTAGAAGAGTACCAGAAACTGTGTTTCCAGATACCTGACGGGAACGGTGGAGTGCCCATACCCGGTCGTGTCCCAGGGAGTCCCGACCTACCTGGCATCTACCCACTTCCATATCCTGGTCAAACCCCTGGCCAGATTCCTGGAGTGATCCCTGGTCAAATTCCCATCCAGGTTCCAGGCCAGATCCCGGGTCAGATTCCAGGACAAATTCCAGGACAATATCCAGGACAATATCCAGGACAATATCCAGGACAATTTCCAGGACAATTACCTCCAGGTATGCTTCTGCTTCAGCCTGTGTTTGTTTCACTTGTTCACACTCTTGAAAAGACAAAGTGTTCATGTGCCACAATAACATGCAACTAGTACTGGTGATGATTTAATGTCTGAGTCACTGGATGTGCAATGCTCCACCTCCCACTCAACTTGTTTTGCTATGTTCAAAATCTCAGTTTTGAGCAACAACAACCAACATACTCCAGTTAATGAGCTGCATGTTAATGATGGAAAACATTGCGCTCTTACACGATACTGCTTGTTTCATTGGGGTGTGGCTGTGGAGATATTAAATGTGGTTTAGGGTTAGTGTGTGAAATTTTTCATGATGAAATTTAAAAAGTAAGTAGGATTTTGCAGAGTTTGGGCTTTTAGGAGAGAAGTCAAACATCTTCTAACCTTTAATCTCTATGAGAATGATAGAAGATTCTGCTAAATCTCAGCTTTTACAGTGACATGTTTTCCATTCCCAATATTACTCAGCTTGAGCTACTGATTGTACATTTGCAGTAAATGCGTCTACATATTCTTTCAATTGAAGATGTCTAACTAAATGTCCTATGATAAGCATGATGCTGAATGATCCAATGAAGGCAGATGCTTTGGATTTTTCTTCATATGATTTTATTGTCTCATGTTTTTCATCAGGTCCTGTTATCATCCAAACCCAGAACATCACCAACATGTGCCAGGCCTACCGCAACCTCTGCCTGAATGGCAGGTGCATCCCCATGCCGGGCATTGGGTATCGCTGTGAGTGCAACATGGGGTTCAGGTTGGATGGAAGGGGAGAGTGTGTCGGTAAGTTTGAACAGAATGAGAATCAAGTTAACTCTTAATAGGTGTTTGAGCATCATGTTTTCGCTCCAGATGACGATGAGTGTGAGAGAAACCCATGTGCACATGGAGAGTGTGTGAACACGCCTGGGTCTTACATCTGTCAGTGTCCCGTTGGATTCCAGACCACTGCCACCAGGACAGAGTGCCGAGGTCACACACACACAGACACACACACATACTCACACACAATTTAAGATGATGCACGTGTTTACTGTGCTTTCTGTTTGTCTGTGCCAGATCTGGATGAGTGTGTGGCCAACGGTCGTATCTGCAACAATGGCCGCTGTGTGAACACTGAGGGCAGCTTCCACTGTGTCTGCAATGCTGGATTTGAAATTACAGCAGATGGCAAAAACTGTCAAGGTGTGTTCATTTCTGGCATTTGCATTAATGCTGCAGATATATATTTAAAGAGTATTTGTCTGTCACGACCACAGGATGAGTAATTTTTTGTTAGATGTTCCTTGGATCTGTTGGACGTGGTGATTTAATCTCGTCATTCTTTACTCCCTCAATAATGCTTGACTTTTCACTCTGCCTTCCATCGAGTCATTTTGGAACTGCTTATAAAACACTTTTCATTTCTGAAGTTGGTTTGCACATGTGTAGCTATCAAAACCTAATACACTTTAGCACTTTTCACAAACAGCAAAGTCACTGGGTAACAACAGTTTCACCACCGGCTATTTCTGTCTTTAATGTGATCAGATTTGATGTATTGTGTGATTCAGTGTCAGTTGTGACAGTTATCTGAGGGGAGGTAAAGGTGGTGTCGTAGGTTTTTCACAATAATACAAATCTTTGCGGCTGACAAGGCTACAAATGATTTGATTTAGATTTTAAAAATCACTTGGATTTCTGTTACCTCAAAAAACATACTGAAGTTATCACCAGCTGCACGTCCGCATTTTCTTAATTTTCAGATCTGTGAATTTATATAAATGTATTTTGACCTGTTATGCAACTTTTTGCAAGACTCTGAGTGTCATTGTTCAAACTAGTTTTGATTCAGCAAAACCCTTGCTCTTATAATTTTTCTTGCCTCTTATATAACTCACACCTGAATGAATGTTTAGCCAGAGAGTGTATAAAAAGAATCAGATCTAGTTTTATAGAGTTGGCTGTTCAAACAGCAGTATTTTTAGTCCAGCACTTCTGATTCCTATCTTAGCTTTGTATTTGTTTGATGGAATTAATTCTCTGACTACACACGTAACACACATGTAATTATTTGATAGTGAGCGATCAATTCTGAAATACATGAGTGTCACTGAATGTTTGACAATAGTATGGGGCAGAATGAAGCTTGAGAAATGTCTTGTTAACTCACAGTTTGTGGGTGTTAACCAGCATTTGTTTCTCAGTACATTAGTGCCGTTCCATCAATTTGTTTCTGTTCATCCACAGACCAGGACGAGTGTCTGATCAGGAACATGTGTCTCAATGGACTGTGCATCAACGAAGACGGCAGCTTCAAGTGCATCTGCAAACCTGGATTCCTCCTTGACAGCAGTGGACGCATGTGTGTAGGTGTGTTTGTCACAACAGCACAGCTCTACATCGTCACGCTCCCTGGTTACATCATCAGTGCATATATGTTACATTTCAGTCGTTCTTTTCGCCCACATTTACAGCTAAATTGAAAGGTGGCTACTTCTCTGGCATGTTAGTGGTGCTGTTATGTAAGTCTTTGCACACAGGGCAAAAATCCCCCTAAAAGCCTTGGAAAAATTCCTCAGCATCCTGGCAGGCCAGCTGGACATGTGGATATTTGGGGCCCGCCTATTCTAAAATTCTCGCAGGCAGCTTTTCCTAAACTTGTCCAATGCAAAAAGAAAAGGGAAAGTAGCGTTTTCCTGGAAACCATGTTGCAATAACAGCTTCAGTTTGATAATAACTTAAACTTTAGAGTTGATCTTTTCCTCCACTACACATATTGTGTTGTTATTGCTTTTTTGTTTGTTTGTCTGGATTTCAGCAGGATAACTCAAAAGTTACTGACCTGATTTTTTAAATAAATCTTTGTGGAAGGGTGGAGTAGAACCCAGGGAAGCACCCAATACATTTTAGAGCAGATTTGGATAAACAGGTGGATCCAGGAATTATTTTTCACTTCTAACATGGTGAAAAAGGGTGTTGTCCTTGGCGGTGGTATGCGCTCTCCGACCACCCTTCTCGTGTCTCGTGTGACATTTTCAGATGTATGGAACATTAAAGGCAACATCAGTTTACATTGATGTAATGTTGAAGATGGGTACCATTAATCTCCATCTAGTGTTTTCAGTGTGTAACCGACAGTGATTCTCCTCCACATGACTTCAGATACAGACGTTTGATCTCAGAGACACTGACCTGGTTCAGTCCCGGCAGAATAAATAAACACGAGAGTCAGGTGTGGGTGAAGTGTGCTGATGTATGCAGTCATTAATGAAATGTGTAGTCTAAAGGGGCCCTGGGACCTCATTGTCTCTATCTACAGTCTGTCTGTGGAACACACACCCAGACAGAACACACACACACACACACACACACACAGAGTTATGCGTGCATGCCATATCACTGTTTACGCTCATTATGATAATTATGATAATACGCTGATGGGATTAAGGGGCGGGAGAAGAATGTTTTCCTTAGTTGAGGTCATAAAATTAAGACTGTACAGCAGTCTTTTTAATGAATCAGGTGCCTTAGGATCAACCACCACTTTAGCAAGATAATGGTTTGTTTTAATGGATTCTTCCCTTTTACTGTTCATACTGTGAAGAGAAATGTATGGAGAAATCATTTTGCTGCATCTGTTTCTAGACATCGATGAGTGTGAGACTCCAGGTATGTGCATGAACGGCCACTGCGTCAACACGGAGGGATCTTTCCGCTGTGAGTGTATGGCTGGGATGGCGGTGGGCCTGGATGGACGGGTCTGTGTCGGTGAGTAAATGGAGCTGTAGTTTTGTTTCCAGGAACGCCTCATGTGTTTGTTTTGGATACCGTGGCACACAGAAATCTCACACCAATCTCAGCACAAAAACAACACACTCTTTAGATGAAGGTAGCTTGGTGGCCATGTATTTTAGCTTCAGAAGTTACTGAAGCCAACACAGACACCATTTATTTTTGTGTCTGGCGTTTGTCCCTCTGCTTCAGTCTGGCGGCTGAATCTCTGAGAGTGTTCAGCTGCTGCAGACAGAAGATAAAAATTTACTTTCAGTTTTATTCATTTGCCTGCTTCGAAAAAGAATCTGTGCTTCCAGCAGTCTCCTGCAAACACATACGGTTCCGTCTCCAGTGAATTCTCACTACAGCTGACCTCATTTTCCTGAAATTTTCTGGAGGGGCTGTTTGTGAGGAAACAAATGTCTGATTCAGTCGCCAAACATTTTCTGGAGCTTTTTCGTGCCCAAGTAAAATGTCCAGAAAATATTGGGATATATCCTTTTGAAAATACAGCAGCAACATTCTAAGCGAGTTGATGACGTTTCTAACATGCTGCAGATGCAAAAACAGAAAAAACCTAAAAGACAAATTTGTCATCTTGGAAAAACAACGAGTTTCGAGACCTTTTGCCAAAAGGTTTGACCAACGCTGGCATCATTTTGCTGTGAACAAAAACACTTAGCTTACCACGGTGTAATTTAGCTCTTACATCCTGCCTCCTGTACCCTGCATGCTCTACCCAGACGCCAGCCCTCGCCTGAACGTTCCGAACATTTTCCTGTTGTTGTTAAATTCTCTGACCTGGACAATCTCCTGCTGTGTTCATCATAGATGAAAGGCTCATTTTCTTGACATTGAACAGAGTTCAAGTCTGTATACAGCTTTAGGGTTGAATGAAGCTTAGAATGATGATGTCGTATTAAATCTGGTTTCCTGTTGCAACCACATGCTCACCACCCTTGATGAGCATTACACTGATAAATGTTTTCCTGCCTCCTCCTGCTTCAGTCCCCCTGGACTGGCAGTCAATCCAGATCTGTTTATGCCTTTATTTTCAACATTCCCACATTTCCCCCGTAAGATATTTCTTTGTGTATTGTGTGGGAAGTATTGAAATGCTGTTACTAGGCCTAGCTGAGTTTTCATCAGGATGATATCAGCGCATTAGAATGCCTCAAATCCCTGGATATTATGGAGCGAGAACAACCATTTGTTTTGCCAGTCTTGTTGTTTATAAGAGCTGCAGGCTCTCGCCTCTCTCCACAGCTCTTGCCTCCGCTATGTTTCTCATCCACTGTCTTGTCATGTTTTGTTTGAAACAGACACACATATGCGCAGTTCATGTTATGGTGGCTACAAGCGAGGACAATGTGTACGACCTCTATTCGGAGCCGTGACCAAGTCTGAGTGCTGCTGTGCCAGCACAGAGTACGCCTACGGGGAGCCCTGCCAGCCCTGCCCGCCACAAAGCTCTGGTATGGATATTGTAATCACTCCACCCTTTACACATGTGGAGCCACCTCATACTGCCTGACACACACACACACACACACACACACACACACACACACAAACACACACACACACAGCTTGCGATAAATTCAAAGAATGACCAGATCAAACGCTGAGTCTTCTCTGACATATATCGATTTCAGTATCATTGTCATGGCTGGAACGCCCACAATTTGGATGCATTGACAGCCTCCTTGACACACGTACACACAAACACTGACGCGCTTCATGCAGTCACTTCTCATTAGTCCTGCCAATTAAAGTTTCTGTATCAACAGACGCCATAGCTGCACCACATTAAGCAGAAAGTTTTATATACATCTTGGGTAATGAGAAAGTATGGAAATGGGTAATGACATGGTATAAATGTCTTGCTTTGATATTTCTTAGATTTAGGTAAATGTGATATTTTCTCAAATGCTGTTATTTCTTATTTTATCAATTCAACTGTGCTGTTTGTGCTGTTTTGTTGCAGCTGAGTTCCTGGCACTCTGCCCCAATAGCATCGGCATAACCGGCGATGGAAGAGGTAATGGCCACAAGGTTTTCAAGCTAGTGTGTTTCTTTATGAAGAAACAAAACAGGGACACATGAATTACAGGCAATCGTTTTTAATTTGTCTTTCCCTCATGTTCAATGACTTGATCTCTACCTTCTCAGATATTAACGAGTGCGCCCTCGACCCTGAAATCTGCCAGAATGGAATTTGCGAGAATATGCTGAGGACGTACAAATGCACCTGCAATGAAGGTTTTGAAGTTGACCTGACGGGCAAAAATTGTGTTGGTAGGTGAAGTGTTCTCTAATGTTCTAAAGTTAAAGGCCTTGATATCATATGACAGTGGGTGGGAAGTCATCTGTGTGTGTGTGTTTCTTCAGACATTGATGAGTGCGTGATGAACAGACTGCTCTGTGACAACGGGCTGTGCAGGAACACACCAGGAAGTTTCACCTGTCAGTGTCCTAAAGGATACCGCTTCAATTCGGAGACGGATGTCTGCGAGGGTCAGTGACATGTTCATTCTGTTGCACAGCAGAGTCTCTCTTCAGAACTGTTTGTGTTATGTCAGACTGATAAGAGAGAAAAGAAAAAACTGTTTATGTTTGTTTTTGTCTCCCACAGATGTGAATGAGTGTGAGTCCAGCCCCTGTATTAATGGGGAATGTATGAACAGCCAAGGGTCCTTTGTGTGTTTGTGTTCAACGGGCAGTTCTTTGGACAGCACTGCTCTGGAGTGTATAGGTAAGTGAACATTGTATTGTTTTGGATTTGATATAATTAGCAAAATACTGTACTTTAACTGGCAAAATGTGTTTTATTCAATATAAAAATTACTTGTTACATTAAACAATGTGAGAAAATTGGGTTAAATATTCTTTAAATTTCAGAAAAATAAAATGAAATACACTTTGTGACATATAGAGAAAACTGTGATAAGCCAAAATTAATTAAATAAATTATACTAGTAATTATTAATTTAATAATTGTTTATCTTTTCAAACAGAGACAACAAAAAGCACCTGCTGGCTGAAAATAGTCAACAATCGCTGTGAGGTCAACATCAACGGGGCAACACTGAAGTCCCACTGCTGCGCCACACTGGGAGAGGCCTGGAACAGCCCTTGTGCCAAATGTGAAAAAGGTGAGATGATTAATTTGCACCATTGTACACATTTCAGTACTTAGCACATTCTATAAATGCATCTATTCTGTGTCCCCCCTTTTTCAGATCCAATCTGTGGTAAAGGTTTTTCTCGAGTCAAAGGAAATGTTTGTGAAGGTGAGTTCTTCCTCGATGCCACAGAGTTCTGGACATTCACACATTCTTTGTATTGGAGGAAACTCAGTTGGAGCTGTTGTTGACGTTGCTCTGTGTGTCATCTGCCGTCAGATGTGGATGAATGTCAAGTGTTTCCTGGGGTGTGTATCAACGGCAAGTGCATCAACACACCAGGCTCCTTCTTCTGCCAGTGCCCTCCAGGAATGACTGTTGATGTCAGTGGCAGGACGTGTATTGGTGGGTATAACATATAAATGTATATGTGAGTCACTTTGTGGTTTTATGTGCGATTCTTTTTAACTTTTTTTCTATTGATTGTTTGTGTCTTTCAGACCTGCGTACGGAGCAGTGTTACCTCACCCATGAGGATGAGCGCTGCGGGGCTCCCATCCCAGGGAAGCACCGTGTGGATGCCTGCTGCTGCTCCGTCGGCGTGGCCTGGGGCCCCGACTGTGACGAATGTCCAGAAAAGGGCGGTCCAGACTATACACGGCTCTGTCCTCGGGGCCCGGGCTTCTCACACAGGGGGGACTTCATCAACGGCCGACCCTTCCTAAAAGGTAGTGTCATGTCCGGAGACTTCGAGGACTCTGTGTTGTTTCAACTACTATGTCTCACCTGTCCCTCTGCTCTATACCTCAGATATAAATGAATGCAGGATGATAAACACCCTGTGCTCGAATGGGAGGTGCAGAAACACCATCGGCAGCTTCCGCTGTCGCTGTGACAACGGCTATGCCCTGGACTCTGATGAGCGGAATTGTACTGGTGAGTAGTTCTGAAGGAAGGAACTTTTTACTGGGCCTATCAACACCAAACAGAAAAATCAAATTGAAACCAATGCTCCATGTGGCTCTGTGTTTACGTTGGATGTCTGATATGATCACGGCCACGTGATTGACGACCCGCGGGGTCAATTAGTCAATAAAAATAAAACTTGGTAATTGTTGAAAATTTTATATCTTTGGATTTGTACAAATTTGGGGCAATGAAGATGGTTTTCTTTCATTATTATCTAACATTTTATTGACTAAACAACAAGCAACAGCTGATCAACTTTACAACGGTTATTCAAGTTAGGAAAGATCTTGATTTTGTGGCTCTTGTTGGAGCTAACAAACATCCCCAGTTTCTATTTTTTTGGTTGTCATGTTTTCATCAGCTACAACAACACTGTAGCATTTGCATTGCATCTCAAAAATCCATTTTCCATCAGTCCCCTGCTCTGAATCCCTCTGCCAACATCAATTACAGTAAAGTGGTGTAAAGCCATCGCCTGTATTCGCATACTTCATGCACTCTAATGGGAATCTGGCTGCTGTGGACGTGTTGGAGCCGGTCCCTGTCGTCTGGTTAGCTGCATTACTGCTCTGTTGAAATGTGCGCACAATCATTTAAGGTTTAAACATCAGTGTCATTACTTTATTTTTGAAATAATTTATAGGCTCCTCGTGAGTAAATGATATCTGAGACCTTTTAACCCTGTATGAGTGATATCCCAGTCTAAGTGTTTTAAAATGTGGATTCAAATCAAAAGGGATCAGGCCTTTAGAATTTAGACTTTGGCAGAATTTGCTTGATGACCTTAATTTCACCCATAAGATTTTTTATAGCTTTACCTTTTGTTAAAAAGTTTGTGCTTGATTTTCCTTTCATTTGTATTTCATATTTTAGCTTCACCGAATAAAAAAAGTAAAACAAATGTTTTTATTGTGTTTTTTATTTATTTATTTATATTTTACAAGTTGTTTCTCTGCCTGCAGTTTGAAAGAAAAACTTTACTCTGCTCTCCTCCTGCAGACATCGATGAGTGCCGCATCTCTCCGGACCTGTGTGGACAGGGGAGGTGTGTCAACACACCGGGAGATTTTGAATGCGAGTGCTTTGAAGGCTACGAGAGCGGCTTCATGATGATGAAAAACTGCATGGGTAAGAATCCTCCAACACCGCCCACACCTGCAGACGTTACAACACACGCAACCTCTTCAGCTCGACGTGTTTTGGTTCAGTGAGATACAGAGACGGCACCTCCACATGAAATGATTCAGTCTGAGGATATGATTGAGAAATTAAATCTCTCTCTCACACCCGGTTAAAGTATCTGAGAGTGCGGCTCTTTGCCAACCGACCAAGGTCTCCAAGTACAGGGAGGCCCACCACAGCCCTCGTCCCAGTCACAACCCAGCCATCTCCTCCACGCTCCCGCTTGGGCCAAAGCTCTGGATGAGGTGGTTGGGCTAACATGCCAGACCTGGAACTCGCTGTTTAGACGGCTGATGTAATGTGAAATTTCCAGGCTGTGTACTGTTGTATATATATGTACGTGTGTGAGAGAGGAGAGTTAAAGTGACTTTGTTTCAACCCTTGCTTGCTCTTAAGAGCACAACTGTGTGCACGCCAAGTGTCGCCACAATCGCCCTGCTTCATAAACTGCTTCATAAAGTCTCCAAGATAATTGTCCTTTATTAGATACTTGACCAGCATGTGAGCGACACACAATCAGCTCCCCAGCATAAGGATTTTTTTTTAACATATAGCTACAAGTAATAACGTTCTGCCATCTGTGAAAATACTTAACGTTCTATTTCGGTTGTGGTCGACTCCTTCGACGCCGCTTGATTCAATTCTTGGGAGGAATGGTATACACACAAAATGGAGGAGTCTCAGTACTTTTGTTGGCCCAAAGCTGCCATTGGACAAAAATTGGCGTAACAAAGTTTACTTGCACGCTGTGGCAAAAAATAAAAAAGGATCTGAGACTGGATATAAAGTGGGCAGGGTATCAGTCATGAGCTGTTGGTGCTGACTGTAATAGCAGGCTAACAAAAATAACATTTTAACAAACTATTTTTGTTTTCTGTCAATCTACATTCTTAACGTTTCTGCTGCTTCCTGAATCAGGACGTCCCAGACCCAAAGTCTCTCTAAAACTGGACTCTCACTAATGTTCAGGTCAAACTTATGCTTTACCTGTAAATGTGCCAAAGCCCCTCGCAGCTCACATCACAACTAAAAGCACAACTTTGAATCCATCAATCCGATGGGCTCCATAGACGACAGGTGAAACAAATATTTGAAGAGGCCGGTCCCAGTGTGACTGAACCCTAACACTGCATACCTCCTCATGTGTGTGTGTTGTACATGTGATCTTTCCCCCTCAGACATCGATGAGTGTGAGAGGAACCCTCTGCTGTGCCGTGGGGGCGAGTGTGTAAACACGGAGGGCAGCTTCCAGTGCGTGTGCCCCGATGGACACGAGATCGCACCAGACGGGTCGGCCTGTCTGGGTGAGTTATGAGCAAACGCTTCCTCTCTGAACCTTTCTTCTGTGGGTGATCTATGTGGATGAGTGTGGTTTCCTCAGAGATAAAAGGGTAAGCAAAAAAGACGATGTTGTCACAGAGCTGACAGTTTGAATGACAAGTGAGCTCTGGATCGCCCCCCCCGTCTGCCGCTGTTTCTGCCTCCGTGTGTGGGCTCACTGATGCTCTGTGAGTGGGTGGGAGTGTTTGAGTTAGCTCTGTGTATGTGTGGGATACACAGTATATTCTTTAATAAATGGGCTGATATGAACACCCGATCAGTGAGGGTGTCTGAATGTGTGTTAAGGTGGAAGGAGACAATACGGTAAAGATGAGGGGAAAAAATGATCTCTTAAGAATTTAAAATATTTGTTTTTCTTAATATTTATTTAGGTCATAGTTATTCTTAGATTGGCTCCAATTTGGAAATATTTCCGAAATTCTCATACTCTAGCTAGCTCTGGCTATCGCTACAGGAAATGATGTTTTCTTCGACGCTCTGAATACTGTACTTTTAATACTATCCTTATTAATATAAATGTGTTTGGGGATAATTTGTATGGAATAGCTTGTACTTTAGGCAGCATTTTACTGTTTACATTTACATTTCAATATCTTTTGAGGATGCAGAATTAAACTAAATACATTTTTATTTGTACAGCACCAAATCATAATATACATTATCTAAAGGCACTTTACATAAAAGGTCAGGACCTTGAAAATAATTGATGAAAACCTGAAACCCAACATGTCCCACTATGAGCAGCACTTTGGTGACTGTGGAGAGAAAAATCTCCCTCAATAGACCTAATTATCATCCAATTGGACGAGTTATCAGACACTGAACAGCGGCAGCGAAGTGGCGGCGATCCAAATCCTCCTCACAGCGAGACTGAGTCGTTAAGAGAGACAGATCATTCAGAGGGAGGCATTTTATGTGTCCAGTTCTCATTGGGTAATTGACAAAGAATCAGCCATCTTGTTGTGTGTGTAGACAGGCAGTGTTTTCACTTTCTAAAACTAACAGCTGATACATGTTGACTGAACAACTTTTTCATTCAGTCACTTAGTAACGAGTTTAATAGTATTTGTCATATTTTTGGTACCTGAGCACCAACTTGACTGGACGTGTAGTGACAGCACAAGCTTTCTACAAGGGCAAGGACCTGACAGTTGAAGTGCTTCTTTTAGCTGGACAACTACAGACTTAAGCTTATAGCACTGAGTTGAACATTCATTCATCGGGTGTTATTCTGATGACCTAATGCACTGAACGGAGGTTTCAGTCGATGATGTAACAATCACTGCCCCTGAAGCTCATTTATTTTTTATTACCACCCAAACCAATAAAAACAATTTAAGCATTTCTGAAAAAGCCTACCTCATCCCCTGTGACACAATGGAGTTCATTATCTCTGCTGAAGCAACACGTTGAAAATGATGATCATAGACTTCAGTTGTATAGTACAGTTTGTAGAAATGAGTCTAACACAGTGTGTTTAATGATGTCAGATTCCTCATTGGAACTTATCTTCTGAACCTGAACATCTTGTACAGTTTGTACGTAAACAAATCTTTTAAGCCAAAAAATCTCAAATGTAAACATGTAAGTTTAGAGGGGTTTGGACTGTTGGCCAGATTAAACAAGGAATTTAAACATGTCTATTTTTTGTTGGTTTCCAAACTATGATGGAATACCATAATATTACAAGAATTAAAATCAGAAGTTTACAAGAATAGTAATAATATTACATGAACTAAGTAAGATTACGATAAAAAAAAGATATATTCTTGTCTGTATCCTCATAGTATGAAATACCTCATAGTATTTTTCTTATTAAGTGAGGACTTTATTCTTGTGATCTCAGAACTGTTTTTCTTCAATATGGCCCTAATTATCCCTCATAACAATCAACTTGCTCATTAATGATAAAAAAATAATTGATAATGCGAGCTACAGGTATTTATTGATTGTGTAGAATGTCAATAACTATTTTGTTCTATCACAGATATCAATGAATGCGAGTTGAGTGACAGGCTGTGCAGGAACGGCCAGTGTGTGAATATGATCGGCCGATACCAGTGTACCTGCGACACAGGATACAAATCTACTGAGAGCAGACTCGAGTGTGTTGGTAGGTACAGCGCGTACGGCCGCTTCAAATACAAATACACAACGGTTAGTTTTAATAGACGCCACCAGTATGTGACAGCGTGTGTCTTTCTGCCTGTCAGACATTGACGAGTGCACCATTGAGTTTGGCGGCTGTGAGACTTTCTGCACCAACTCAGAGGGCAGTTATGAGTGCAGCTGCAACAGTGGATACGCCCTGATGCCTGATCTAAGGAGCTGCACTGGTAAGTACATCTGTTTGTCCTGTCTGTCGTGGCATTTATAACATCATCATTATTTTGTCCTGTTCTCAAGATAGTGGGATTTAGAGGGTAACTACAGCAAACTCCCTCTCAGTGATGAGTGTTACAGTTTAGGTTTTTATTCCTCCGCGCCTGTGATGTTCTTAAGAACCCATCCAGGGAATTTCTTCAAATTTGGTTCAGACATTCACTTTGACTCGAGAATGAACTTATTAGATTTTGGTGGAGAGCAGATTTTTGCCTTGTGAGTGTGATATCTCAAGAACACCTTGAAAGAAGCTCTTCAAATTTGGCACAAACGTTTGCTCAGCCTCACGGAGGAAGTGATTAGAACTTGTCACTCAAAGGTAAACTGTTAAGGACACTGTAGCCTTACGAACCCCTTTTCGTCATGTGAACAGATTATATTAAGAAAGCATAGAGAGAATCTAATTTGGCACAAGTGTTCAATAAGACTCACTGATGAACTGATTAGATTTGGGTGGTCAAAGGTCAAGGTCGCAGTGGCCTCACAAAACAATGTTTTTGGCCTCTGAAACACAAAATCTGAAGACTGACTATAGGGAATTTCTTCAAATTTTCACCGGTCGTTACTTGGACTCATATGAATCTGGAAATAAGAAAATACGTAGACTGAGACTGCACTGGTTGGCGGAGTTACACAACCATGGGGCGGTAATTCTAGTTCCTGTAAATTACACATATGGTACAACAATACTTCAAAGCTTGTGTTTAGATAGACCTGATTTAAGAGCAGGAGTGAAATGGCACATCAGGAAACCTAATCTATACAGAAGAGAGACACTGCTGTAATTTGACTGGCATTTATTCAAAGCAAACATACACTGAGACAAACGTAAGGACTGCTCATTCATTATTAGCTTCAAAGTATTATCAGATAACAGTAGTGCTGCTTAATGATTAATACAGCCGTCAGTTTAACAGCATTTCTGGCCGAGACGATGTTCATTTCAGCAAATGACAGCAGGTTTCCTGTGTCGGTCATAGACCTTCTCCTGTGTCTCTCTAATTACCAGAGAGCGATACTGTATTGAGACAGAGATCAAGGATCATTTTTGCAGAAGAAGAACTGCCTCATCGTTACTCAGCGTAATGTTTATGTAATTTTGCAAGGTCTGTCCTGATGTGACCTCAGTGATTTATGAGTGAGAAAAGAAATCTACACCAGAATTCTTTGTATGGTTCAGTCTCTTGGCCTGTATGGGACCCTGAAGTGTAGTTTTATGTTATAATCTTGATGCGCTATTGTAACGCTTCAACCATTGAAACCTGGATTACTTTAACTTTTACAATTGTTTTTCCTATCATCTACATTGATCTGTTCCCGTTTTTGATTTTCCTGTCTGCCTCTGTATCTTCAGATATTGATGAGTGTGAGGAGAGCCCAGATACCTGTGACGGAGGCCAGTGTACAAACACCCCGGGGACATACCAGTGTCTCTGCTTCGACGGCTTCATGTCATCTGAGGATATGAAGACCTGTCTGGGTAAGAGAAGCACGTTTTTATGCCCAAAAATAAAACGCTGTAGCTTCACTCTCTGCGGCACTCTTCTTATTAAATCCAGGGGGTTCTCTAGGATTTACTGAAAGAGCATAATGATCATCTTGATGGTTATCCAAGATATGAGTCACGAGAACAGCACGTAATGAGTCAGATCCCTGAGTCCGAGAGAACTGAGAGTAATGTTGTTGTTTTTGAATTATAAGACAGTGAACATTGTGTTAGTTTGCCTAAGCTAAGGAGGAAGATGTGACATTTAGATGTCTGGTTCCACTGAGGGAGAAAACCTGACAGTAACAAGAATGAATGTGTCTGCATGAACACATCATCTTTTATTGCTGTATTTAACAAAAGTAAATACCTTTTAAAGCTTTGGTATAGTTCATGATGTTATTCTATTGTGAGTAATATATATATATAAAACCTGTTTTCAGGCCAAATCAACAAATGAGCTAAGTCAGTTTTATTCATTGTTATAACGTTTCCTTTGGTGTAACTGTGTTTAGCACATTAACATTCTTGCTCCTTCTCTGTTTCACTCGTCTCTTCCCTCCCTGTCTAGATGTGGACGAGTGTGAGCTGAACCCAAACATCTGTCTGAGCGGGAACTGTGAGAACACTAAGGGATCGTTCATCTGCCACTGCGACCTGGGATACTCTGTGCGCAAGGGAACGACAGGCTGCACAGGTGAACGAAACAAACACAAGTGTTCCTACCCACAAGAAATGTCCTGTCAGTGGAGGACCACGGCCAGGTCAATGAGCTGGATAGCTGCACAAACCTGTGTGTGCGTGTATATGTGTGCGTGCGCGTGTGTGCCTAAGAGGTGAGAAATGAGAGGATGCGGGGAAAATGTCGGGTCAACCAGGAGCAGCTCTGACATTGCTCACCCTCATTCAAGAGCTCCTGTCTGACTTGATAAGAAACACACATATATTCACACACACACATGCACCAGCAGTAACAACAGCAGGAGCAGTGAGATCACTATCTTTCTGTCAGATCTATGCATCACATTGCACCTTTGTTTATTCCTTTGTTGCTCTTTCATTAAGGTCTGTTAAACATTACGTGATGGTTGGAGGAGTTCTGCAGCACGTCATCACCTGTAGCAGCTCCAAAACGAATAAATACAAAGTCCATCCGACTAGAGACCTTCACTAGTCTGGACTTACTTCTCGTCCAGCCGGAGTTAAGTTTGATTTATCAGGCCACTTAAAAATTAGGGGTTGAAGTGTAGTCGAGAGTTTAGACAGTGATCTTATCTGGCCGTGTCTCGGTCATCGAAATGAGTCTGACACAGTCAGCAGGAGCATGTCTTCCTTCAGATGCAAATAAACAGCTTTGTGTGTATGGGATTCAAACCCTCCCTCCTCACACACAAACACATGCACACACACAAACACACACACTTGCTCATTCTAATCCCATTAAAGTGTCCATTTAGTATTATGCTTGTTTTGAGGAACCTGGGGTTGCAGTAAAGCAGCTGGTTCTGATTCACAGGTTTGGAGTCTCAGCACCAGAATACCAGGGAATCAAGATGCTAATTCCTCTCAGGCAGGCAGGATGTCTTGTTATAGACGAGTGAACAAAACCTGCTACTCTTTTTGGAAAAGATCCCCCCTCCAATATAGTCCAAGGAAAAATGCATAAGAAATCGGTTTTCTTTGTCCAATTGCCTTACGCCACCACGTTGGTATGTGTGGACTCAGTCTCCTCGCATGTGTGTGCGTGTTGAGCGTGTGAGTGGTGCTCGCAAGCCCAGATCTGATCCAGCTCTTGATGAAGCTCCCACAAGAATTTTTTTTCACTAAGAAGTCAGGGAAGGGGAGTGAGGATTTATACATACACTTAAGTAGTTGTGTGCCCCTGTGTACATTGGAAAGTAAGGACTGGGTGGAGTTGCACTGGTGGAGTTTACAAGGCTCTTAACTTTAAAGAGAGGATCAGGGGGAGGAGGTTGTACCTACTGATTTAATTATCTTTCAGCCAAATGACAAGACTGTGTAATATTGTGAGTTAAAGCAAGACTGTGAGTTTCAGAAATATAAAAAATAGCATCTGTTTCTTACAAATGAACAGCATTAAACACAGCCTAGGTCAGAGGTAACCAACAGGTTGATTGCAATCTACTGGTCGATTTCGAAAGTGTTCATTGTCCGATCCCCTTAACACTCGGGACACACTGGCTGCTGTTGTCTGTTGTCCACACTGGCAGTGTGACTGCTGTGGTTCTGGTATATCTACTGTATTTCCTTGGACAAAAGTCTATTTATGTACTCAACTAAATTTCAGGACACTACGGTATGAAGCTGTGTCTTCTGACAACAATCAAATCCCTGTTAAAGCAAATGAATGGATTCCGTTTAAATGGGAAGAGGAAGTGTTGAAGATATGTTTGTTTGTGACATGTTCAACAGATAAACATTGCTCTTGGTTCACAGCAGAATAGAAAATGATCTTTCACCTGAGTGTTAATGTTTATCTGTCGAATATGTCACAAAAATAAATAACTGCAAAACTTCCTGTACTCGTTTTAAAATAAGGGCATTCTAGCGTTTGTGCGTATTGTGAAATATTTGCAGGAGCAGAAGATGCTCGGCCTCATACTGTGTCGTACTGGTGTTTATTTGAGTGCATAGGACTTCTCTTACAGCTTTTATGTCATTAATAAGGGAATCAGTGAAGCAGTTCCACTGGAGGAGACAAGCCGGTGCCAAAACTGTTCCTGTCTTCTTCTTGCCCCTTTCCAACGTTGTATTTTTTTCAGTGCAACGCTTATCTTTATGGAGAGAGAGTCCCCACACCTCAAGTGCAAATATAAAAGGGAGGGTGTCAGGTGTTGATGTCACTGTTTGCGTGCATTGACCAATCCATCAAGCATAACCACAGTTTAACTTATTGTCAGGAGCGTTTCAATGGACTTAAGGGGCCCAGGCGAAACAGACCTGGGAGGCCTGGCATCAAACAACTGCCTAAAGCCTTTGGCAAAAAGCTAGTGGCATTTCCAACCCAGGTCACATTACAGTCTCCTCTACATAGCCGATCATTCATTAGGGTTCTAATAAAACTGTCTTTGCTGTGGATGTACTGTGCCGTTAACAGGGACCCCCTCTCAGCACGGGGCCCCAGAAATGCCTGCTATGCTAATGACCAGCAACTTATGTTGGCTACTGTTCGCTAATATTAGCAACTTAGATGTAGTGTAACTGACATTAGTCAGGTTACAATCCTTATGAATCCTTTCCCAGGTATAACTCTCATCTAAGTCCTGGGCGGCTGTGTCTCAGGAGGTTAAGTGGGTTGTCCACTAACTGGTTTCTTTCCTGGTTCCCGGCTTCTCTAGTCCACATGCTGAAGTGTCCTTGGGCAAAATGGGGATTCCTCGTTGCTCGTGTCCTATGGTTGCCTCGCTTGAACTATTGGCTAGACTGCCCCGCCTCAATTTCCTGTGGTACTACTCTGTTTTGTCCGTATCCGTAACCTTTCAGAAGACATGCACATATACGGACGAAATGCACGCAGAGTACTGATAGAAGGCTCCGTCCGTTTCCGTATGCATATCTAACATTGAGCATAAATGAGCCTTTACTGCACATCCAGGTGTTCAGAGAGGCAGCCATACTAGAGGACATTTGGACATACAGTGCAATAAGACAGACTGAAGGACAGTTTAACAGAAAGATGAGAGACAGAGAAAGAGGCAAGAATACAAATTGAGAGGCAAACTGACATTTCCCCACTTCTGACGGCAGATGTGTTATTCTCCACTATCCATTTTAGCCTCTCATCTGTCAAACATTAGCCGAGGCAAATCAAACCTTTTCTTTTGACACCAGCTGTGGCCACTGACACATTTCTCGCGTGCAACAGCCCCTGTTTGCATTCTACATTACCACATGAGAATGTGTGTGTTTGTTGTGCTCTGTCATCAAAGGCTCGGGGGAAATGATCTTTAATTCCATCTAATCCAGGGAGATCGGTTTGCTTCCAGCCCTCATATTAACCCGGTCATCAAATGTAGCATAAATATACCGTACCCTCTCCTCAGGAAGACTATAAACCAGCAGCACTAATCTTTAATTGACAGTGTTTTGAATTACTACCCTCACAAAGACAGACACACAGAGAGGAGTGTGTCTCATTGGTTTATAAGTCCTTACATCTTGATCGAGTTCATATGGCTTCCCTTGATGTACAGTGACACACAAACACACACTGGTACAGTCCTTTTTATCAGAGCTGCAACATTCAGACCTCAGGCTCAGGGCCAGGTATTGTGTTGGTCAAGGTTCCACAGAGTTATTTTAGTTCAGATTAGCGGCGCTTCATTGTTGTTGTTCTACACAGACTTTTTCCCATTGTGCCATGTAGTTGATCATGTCAGAAACCACTTGAGGAACAAGAGCTGCAGAGTCAAAGCCACATTCACAGTGTCTAATTGCCAACATCAGCTTCATGTAGATCCTTATTGGTTACAAAAGCTGCCATCGTGATCTGTGATGTGGCCGCAGCCTCGATCCTAGATTTGCAAGGATAAAGTACAAGGAATCTGGGGAAGAAATCAAGTCAGTAACATGACGTAATGTTTATTTACAGAGTTACAATACAATGTCACATTTTTATATGAATTATATTTCGGAGGATTAAAGTGTCCCAACTTGACAGCTGTGGTGGTGAGAAAACCAAACATGAGCATTTAAAGGAGGTCCAAGGTGCCGTGTCTGTGCAGCTGTGATCTTTGACTAACCTAACCTCAGAAATGTTAGTTTAGCCAGAGCAGACAGAACAAGGCCTGAGCATTAGGACATGATTCTCCCTCTTTGCCTTTTTATAGCTCTCTGGACACACTTGCACAATGAAAATATAGAGTCTTGGTCTGGTTATTAAACCATTGCAGGAAGGGTATTAGTATCAGAGATCATGAAAATCTCTTTTGTGCCTATTGCTCTGAAATACAGCTCTCCACGGATACAGCAGCGAGCCAGAAACACTAAGTTCGGTCATCTCATGCTGCTGCCTTTATTCAATTCAAACCAAGCATCAACTCGCTCCACGGTGCCAAGAGCCCCACTGGGGAGAATGCAGACTCAGATCATCAGACCATCAGAGCGGTGTCTTTTTTTTTCTCTTTTCCTCACATGGCATCGTGTTTGTTTCCTCTTCCTCAGATATCAATGAGTGTGAGATTGGAGCCCATAACTGTGACAGACATGCTACCTGCACCAACACCGCCAGCAGCTTCAAATGCAGCTGTGCTCCAGGGTGGATCGGCGACGGCCTCAAATGCACAGGTACGGCCTCGGGTGCAGAGATAAATGCTGCCACTGAATGGGACCATTGAAAGAGTATATATAATTAGCTCTATATATAAAATGGAAATTTCTCTAATGCTTGGTCAGTTGCCAACATTCATAATAAAGGAATGTCTGTAATTCTGTAACCAGACAAAAGGATAATATTTCTTTCCTGATGCTTTTTACTTGAAGTTGGTCTTTGATCCTATTAACTAGTATTGCTTGTGTATCTTCATTTTATTTCACAGTCCCTCACATTATTTATATGTACCATCGCCATAGACTGTTGTACCCCATTGTATAAGATGGAGAAGTCTTTCATTGAGTTTTTTGAGGACTACGAAAACCATCAAATATAATAGTTTTTTCTTTTCCTGGATGAAGAACTTAACTGGACTTTTGTTGTGTTTCAGACCTGGATGAGTGTTCCAATGGGACACACATGTGCAACAACAACGCTGACTGTCTCAACACCATGGGCTCATATCGCTGTGCATGCAAGGAAGGATTCTCTGGAGATGGATTCTACTGTTCAGGTCCCACATTACAGAATAATGTCAAACACCAAACTATAAAATAATGTACTGATGCATTTTGTGTTTACGGACTCTGTGTGTGCGATCACCAATACAGACAGCGATGAGTGCGCAGAGAACGGTAACCTGTGTGAGAGTGGCCACTGTCTGAACCTGCCAGGAGGCTTCCGCTGTGAATGTGACATGGGCTTCTTCCCCACTACTGATGGCAAAGCCTGCGAGGGTAAGACAACACAACACTACCATTTCTGGCTATCCTGGTTCAGACCTCTGTGAGTCAAACCCATCCGGTGTTGCTCTGGTTAATTTGGGGAAAACAACCAATCCAAGTGGAACTCGAGATGTAGTGTTTTGGACATGGGAAGTATACAGTACAATGTTAAACTTTGTGCACTGTGACAAAAACTTGCTCATCCTATAGAAACAGAGAGAGCCAGACATAGAATACACATTGTGAGAAAGAGAAAGAAGCGGGTTAAATGGCTGTGAGTAGCCATGGTAACATAGTGATGTAGCTCCTACAAAAAAGTTTGAAAACTGTGCCTTTTTCGTTCTGAACCCAGCAGCGATGCAAACCATGTTCTATGTGAAAGGACCTTTTTCCTGATGCAGAAGAACTATTGACTGTGACTATTATTAGATACAAACATTATTAATTCCGTAAAGTGAAGTCAAGTTCTCATCCTGTTACTATTCAGTATTTAACACATTAACTAAAGGCAATTCAGTCTGAATCTTCGACTGATTCCAGACATCTTACTAAAATGCTAAAATGACTCATGCACACTAATCTAGGAACTAACTTTTATCTTCTCAACTACTTGTTTGAGACACATTGTGCGCAGCAACATTTGTTGAAAAAGAGAGCTCGCTAAATTGATTGAACAGAATAGCATGTTGAAGAGGGATCTTGTTGGAAATCCAGGGCTGTGTCTCCTGAACACGTTTATGACTGATGGCGGACGAGTGTGAGTCGTGCTTCCAGTGATAAGGCATCACTGGATTCAAATGAATGAGCTGACTGACCTCATTGTGCTGATGTGTCAAACATCCTGAAATAACCTGTCCAGGTCCTCCCTCTCCCCACTCAGGCAGGACTGGACAGTAATGACTTGTGCAGAGTCTAATGATGTGGAAGAGCACAATTTCATAACCTTGGCTGCTGCTCTGCTTGTGTATATGTGTGTGTCTGCTGTGATATGTCTGGGCATTTTTTTGCCCCAGAACTGTCATTCTTTAGCAGAGGTGAGTGGCCTTCACTTCCTATTGTTGGCTGCCAATTTTCCACCATGATCCCATGATCCACTAATCCCTCACAGCTGGGCTTCTCTCTCTTTCTCTCTTCCCCTCCATTTCCTTCCCTCTGTCCCCCCCTGTGACCCCCTCTTCTTTTACAGACATAGACGAATGTACCTTTTCTGACATCTGTGTCAATGGACGATGTCTGAATATGCCGGGACTCTTCAGATGTGAATGCAACTTTGGTTATGAACTGGACAGGAGTGGAGGCAACTGCACAGGTAAGACCAGTCAACACATGCCCGTGGCAGCCCTACTGAGGCCCTCTTTATGCCCCAGTGAACTTAGGCAACTTGACAGATACAGAGGAAAGGTCACTGCTCTTGGAGAAAACAGTGACTTAGGCGACAAAACATGAAAAACTCTTGATACATAAGTTGTTGTTGAGATAAAGACATTTTGTTGAGTACTGCTTTGTCTTCATTTTTCAGATATCAATGAATGTGCAGACCCGACCATCTGCATCAATGGAATGTGTATCAACATCCCCGGAAGTTACCACTGTAACTGCCCTGCAGACTTTGAACTCAACCCCACTCGGGTGGGCTGTGTAGGTGAGACTCAACAAGCTCTCCCAGCACATTTTTGGCATTTTTTCATAGCAAAGGCCAGATACACATCCATATCTGGACTGTGTTTGTGTTTGTGTGTGTGGACAGATACTCGCTCTGGAAGCTGCTTCCTGGATGTTCGTTCCCGAGGAGATGCATCAGAAAGCTTGGACTGCTCCAATGAGATAGGAGTTGGTGTTTCGAAGGCGTCCTGCTGCTGCTCCCTGGGCCAGGGCTGGGGAAATCCATGTGAATCATGCCCCTTTGTCAACTCAAGTGAGTCATCCCATAATTACTAAGACTCTGTGTGCATCATCCATGGTTATGTTTTGTGTTTCAGCTCAATAGTGAAAGTTGTGACCTCTAGCCAGAGATGCACAGCCAAGTAGGAGGATTGAGGTGACATGATACACCTCCTGGTCTGCAGCCATAGTGAAGTTGTACAGCTGAGGATGGCCCAGCAGCCTTACCACCCTGTGAATTAGAATTGTATTTAGTGGCTATTCATGTTCATCACTGCATGTTATAACACATGTGTAGTTAGTTCAATATCGTATCTAGTCAGCACCACTGCTGCACAAAGAGCTGTTCACCTGTTCTCCATCATTGAATTAATACAAATTTGAGTGGTAGAGTCAAAGAATTTGTTCTTTTAAGAGGCTGAAAGTGATCTAATGGTCTCTGGCTTTAATCAGCAACCCTATAAAATCCATCTATTAGTGGTTTTAGGAAGAATGAATCAATCGGTCAGTCATTATGTTGCCCTTAAGTCTATTGAACTTGTTTAAGTTTTTCCCTTACCAACTCAACCAGGAGTAACAAGGAAAAAGAAATCATAACCAAAACACCAAAATATAAATCAGTCCTGATGAGGTGCAAGTTACCTGCTTTAACATAGAGTTATTAGGTTCTGCCTCCTCTTGTAATGCCATGAGTATGAGTTTGCTGCAGTTGTTGTCGCTGGGAAAGATGAGACCATTTGTGCATCTTGCTTGGAAATTGCCAACAGATGGTTCAAAACATTACAGGGAATGACTCAGCTCGAGGAAATGCTTGCCTCTGAGAAGCTGCAGCCATGTCCGGTCCACTGGGTTCTGTGGATAACTCTGAGATCTGAGGAAGCAGAACAGAGAGCGACACGACATGAGTCAATGAGCTAAAATGTCTTTTTCAGGCACCTGACCACTTCAATGTCTCACCATCGGCCACTCATTACGGTCAAATTCTGCAAGAAAACAACACAGACTGGCTCGTGTGTCATTATTGCCGGTTAATGTGATTTGTTGCTGTGTTGTGTGTTACAGCTGAGTACAAGACACTCTGTCCTGGAGGAGAAGGCTTCAGACCAAACCCAATCACTGTCATCTTGGAAGGTCAGACAGCAACATGCTATTATGTGTTTACTGTGCGGTTGTGCACATTTGCAGACACCCTCATGTTTAACACCCACCTACCCACAATGCCACTGAGTGTTTTCCTTCTCTCTCTGGCAGACATCAACGAGTGCCAAGAGTTGCCAGGCTTATGCCAGGGAGGACAGTGCATCAACACCTTCGGGAGCTTCCAGTGCGAATGTCCAAGAGGCTACGCCCTCAACACAGAAACCAGAGTCTGTGAAGGTATCAGACACACACATGTATTCTTTGTAGCCCGACAAACACATGAACGTACAGGTGACCTATCCCTCTACAGTTCTTGCCCTGGGACATTTCGGTGGGAAGGAAATTGAGTCCAGCCGTTCAGGCCTTCTTTCAGCGAGGACACATGGAGAGAGAAGGAGAGGAAAAAGCTCTGGGACAAAGAAATAGCCCCATTGTCCCACTGACATCTCTGCAGTTCATTCTCGCTCAATATGTGTCTACTCTAGTTTGTGTCTGTTGCTACCCGAGCAAAGCACACTGACGATGATGATGAACGCCTAACTGCGTCCAGAGGAGTGAGGCTATGATGTGGTCAGCCCTCTCCTTAGGGAAGTACGCTGAGTCCCCTGTCAACGGGGCAGAGATGACAGAGGGAGAGAAAGACCAAGGATGGGCGGGGGGAAGATAAATGAGAAGGATGTTTAGAAAAGAGAAACAGGGAGGAGAGGAGGAGGCTAAAGGGTTAGACAATGACATGTGGCTGGTGGCATTTTAATTAGCATGTTTGTTGGCTAGAAGAACAAAAGGCGAGTGTCTGGCAGCTGTTGGCCGGGTCAGAAGGAACTGAGGTGTTTGCTATGCGGTAATAATGCTGGTGGAGAAACAATTTAAAATAGAGAAATAAGGAACATTAGTACAAAAAGTTACATTTATAACAATAGTAGAGGAAATAAAAGCTAATACTATCTTGTGAGATGTTCAGTATGCGACTGTTGCCATGATTATCACTGTTGCCTCACAGCAAGAGGGTTCCGGTTTCGAATCCTGGTTGTTTTTCTCCCTATGTTGGCCCTGTTATAAGCTGGCAACCTGTCCAGGGTGGGCTGCCTCTCGCCCAATGTAAGCTAGGATTGGCTCCTGCTCCCCCACAACCCTCAAAGGATAAGCACTATAGATAATGGATAGATGGATGGAAGAAATCACATTTCTTTGTGTCTCTGTTCAGATGTCAATGAGTGTGAACGACCAGGTATCTGTGGCCCAGGACAGTGCTATAACACCATCGGGAACTACACCTGTATCTGTCCTGTGGACTATATGCAGGTCAACGGTGGAAACAACTGCATGGGTACGTCTGCATGCTGCTTGCTCATGACAGTAAACAGTAAAACGTCAAGCAGAGACAGTCTAGCATTAACCTTCTCATGTTTTTTCTTACAAACACACACAGACATGAGGAAGAGCTACTGCTACAGAAACTTTTATACTGACAACAGGACATGTGACGGAGAGCTGACCTTCAACATGACCAAAAAGATGTGCTGCTGCTCCTACAACATTGGCCGGGCATGGAATAAACCCTGTGAGCAGTGTCCTGTGCCCAGCACTGGTGAGCTCTCATGCACAGTTATGCCAGAACATATATGTGAAGAAAGTACAAGAAATAAAAACTGAGTCTTATGTCCACTCAGACGATTTTGCGATTCTGTGCGGCAGTGAGAGACCAGGATATTACATAGACATCACCACTGGACGTGTCATTGGTAAGATTTCCCCATTAAAAGGTTTATTTGGAAAAAGCAAAGTATGTTATCTTCATATCTTATCCTGCTGTCTCTTCCTCGTGTGATAGATATCGATGAATGCAGGGAAATCCCAGGAGTCTGTGAGAATGGAGTCTGCATCAACATGATTGGCAGCTTCAGGTGCGAGTGCCCCATTGGTTTCATCTACAATGACAAGCTGCTGATTTGTGAAGGTAAGGCTTGTGCTCAATTGAAGGTGATGACAAAACATTACATGCAGGAGATTCTTATTTTTTTACATTTGATCTGGTTTCTCTCTTTTACATTTATACATCCTGTTAAAGTCTTTGAACACGTCTGTTCCTATTGTTAGATATCGACGAATGTCAGAATGGACCTGTGTGCCAGCAGAACGCCGCCTGTCTGAACATGCCAGGAAGCTACCGCTGCGAGTGTAAACCTGGGTATCGTTTCACTCCCACTGGACAATGTCTAGGTAAGACTGTGGTGATGGTGATCAGCCACAGCAGCACTCAGATCATCATGTCACTCAACCTGCAGCTGTTTCATCCATTCCTTGTGAATTCAATGGGGATTATACTGAATTGGTGGAGACATGTAGCAGGATTAGAGAAAAGATTAGAGGAAGCAGCCAAAAAGATTAGTCATCCATGTGGATGATTCTGACTTGTCTACATCTTCCTGTCATTTGTCTCCTTAACTGTGCAAATATAAGTATTTGCTATCACTACATAGCCAACAACAACTTAATTCCCTTATTCAGCAAGATCTGTCTCCAGCAGTGGAAAGCAACTATAATTTTAACTCTTGGTTTACTTTGTTTCTATCACTTCTGTTCTTAGTGACCTAACATTGCTTCTTGCCCTATAGACAAAACACTGGACACTGCAATGACTCAGTAATGCCTCTTAAGGTGCAAAGCAGTATTAGAAAACAACTGGGCACTTGCAGTTTACCATGCTAACTTTGGATAACAAGTCAATTTATTCATACTGCACCTCGGTGCACTTTTCATATAGCGTGTCATTGTATGTATTTGTAGGAATATTAGCAATAATAACAACATACTTACTTTCGAGAAGCAGAAACATCATGCACAAACATGCTCAGGGTGAGCTGCCCTCTGCCTTGATCGGATGGATTGGGAGACAGAAAGAGGGAAAGGGGGAGAGAGAGAAAGAAAGAATCTCATTACATTAGCAGGACAACAAGGACAATACTATATATACTGCTTATAACCGATTGATTGATACTAAGACGAACCTACAGGTGGTAGAATCGTGACAGGTACAAAGCAGATTAAACTGCTAACTGCAAGTTAACGTTTAATGATAAGTGTTGTTTGGATTTTAAGGCTTCATCATTAGACGGTCTGATGCCTTTTCCCATTTAGGGCCCATTAGAAAAAGGCACTGCAGCCTGCAGCCAGCATTTTTAACTCTTGGGACAAACAAGCGCCCTGTATTCTGAGAATGCAAAGCATGGGATAGAATATAAGGTTTAAGGAGATCAGACAGGCATCAGGGGGCAAGCCCATTAAGAGTTTTATATGTCATTAAAAGTATCTTAAAGTCTGATCTGACATGGATATGGAGCCAATGAAGGGAAGCTGAAATTGATTTATTGTGGTCATTTTCTGGATTCAGTTAAGATGCTCGCCACAGCATTCTGTACCATTTGAAGAGCACCAGTATGTGGCAGACCAGAAAACAAAAGGTTACATAATGTAGTATTGATGAAACAAAGGCTTGAATGAAGATTTCAGCATCTGCCATGGATAGAAAAAACTAAATTTTGTTCTGTTGCTATCTTCTGATATGTTCTCATCAACGGAGAGGTTATTTTTAGACATCAACCGTCATTAGCCTTTGAAGGCTCATACATTTGAATATCATCTGCGTAACATTGGAAATTAATTCCATAACTTCAAATAATTGGGTCAAGATGTGAAATATAAAACATTAGCAGTTGTAAAGCTAGTGTGCACACAAAACAACGCATAGACATCTTTGACAAGCTGTTTTTTTTGTTTTTTTTTACCTCATACCGTTGATAATTTGAATGATTTTCAATGTTTAGATAAATATAATAATGAAATACTTAAAAATAGCTCATTGTGGCTTCTGTAAAATCCAAGTGATTTTCTTGACATTTATATTGCAAAGGGAACAGAAGCAGCACAGTTACAGTCGGGCTGAGGGGGAATTCTTCACGGTGGGCTTGTTATTAGAGAAGAGAAAATGTGAAGCATCTGTTGAACTGTTGAACATGTGCTGCAGTATATCTGAAACATGTCGCTGTCTGTCTGGAGAATCCTCACTGATAAGTAAATGTTAAATCAACATCCTGTTTTGCTTCCTGCTCACGGTCAGACTCCAGTGAGAGAGAAGTGAAACTGTACTGAGAGAGAATTATGAATTAAATCGTGTGATAAACATTTATTAAAAAAATAAGCTTTGCTGGAAGACATAATGCGAATGAAGTATTTACCACTTGACATGTTTTCACTAAAATTAAATAATGATGTTACTCTGGTGTCATACAAGTCTGAGCAATACAGAGCAGTTATTGTGTCATCGTGCAACAGAGATAATAACCAGTTACAGTCCTATTTGTGGCAAACAACAGATATCTAAATTCTGAAGTTATTAGAGTCACGAGTTATCATCGACTCTTGTTATCAGTAAAATGAAAATCAGATCTCATACAGTATCACAGAGAGACATTGTTTGCTCCAAATTTTAGGTATGTCGTACAGTTTGACACACAACCAACAAAAATAACTTTAATTTACACAAAACTTGTTGGACGGATTGTATTGCTCAGAGGAAAACCCATTAAATTTTGGTCCATACCTGGATAAGGATTTCCTTTTCACCTTCTTTTACATTACAAGAAATTGGGCATATATCAAAATTTTTGTCCCTTTCTCAGAGAATATTTAATGGATCTTGACGAAAGAAATCAAGCACATTTGGAGGAGTGTGTGAAATTTGGCGGAGGTATGTGCTCTACTGAGTGCCATTCTTGTTTTCCCCATAGAACTGGAGAGAGTTTGGTATGCATGACATGGGATTTTCATTTTCTTTGGTATGATTATATTTGGTATATGATACACCAATGGAAGAAATAAAAATACACCAAACTAAGCCATCACAGATTGACAGGTGAAACTGCCTTGTGCCAGTATAATGACTGATTTACTGGAAGAACTGATACTATTGGGACTTTATATTCTATGATTATTTTTGACTCACTGTGATTTTCACACATCTATTTTCTCCTTTATTCAGACCGAAATGAATGCATTGAGAACCCTGGTATATGCAACCCCGGTCAGTGCATCGACACGCTGGGTAGCTATCGCTGCGTCTGCTCCAACGGCTTTAAAACGACGGCGGACAGGTCAATGTGTGTCGGTAAGCTTTGCTGCTTCCTATCCGCTCTCTCTTGTTTTGTGGTCTTGTCTTTCTCAGCGTAGTGAGCAATGTGAATAAAGTCTAAAGTTAAACTGTGATGATGTTCTCTGGTTCCAGACGTGGACGAGTGTGAGAGACAACCCTGTGGTAACGGGACCTGTAAGAATACAGTGGGCTCCTACAACTGTCTCTGCTACCCCGGCTTCCTGAACTCACACAACAGTGACTGCATAGGTGTGTTCATCTGTGGATGTGTTGCAAAAGAGCGAAACCAAGACCGCTACAGTCTTTATGTGATATGTTGTGGTGATGATGTGTTTGTGTTGACTAGATGTCGATGAGTGTATGACGCAGAGGGGCTTGTGTCGGAACGGCCAGTGCGTGAACACAGTGGGCACCTTCCTCTGCGTGTGCCATGACGGCTACGAGCTGACTCTAGACGGCAGACTGTGTGCAGGTACGGACACGCCACTTTGAATTTTTTATGTGTATGTGATTATAATATGTATCATTTATGGTGCATTCCTTGTATTTTCATTTTTCCCTCAGATATTAATGAGTGTGCAGTGAATCCAGGCACATGCGGTGCAGGAACTTGTCTGAATCTGGAAGGCTCTTACAGGTGTATCTGCCCACCTGGCTACTATCTGCATGAGGAAACCTGTGAAGGTACAGACGGCGAGTTCTGTATCATGAAAAATAAAAAAACAGTAATTTCTAGAGTAATAGAAAACAGTATCTGCACGTTTGATTAAATCTCACCTATATATCATATAATATATATTATATGATATATATTATATGATATATATATACAATTTTAGATTGACTGCTGAGAAGTGCAAGAAGAGAATAAACTGCCACCCCGACTCTTCCTTCCTTCAATTGCCCTGCTCCTACAGAACACCCGTCTTCTCCCTGTCTGTATGTGGGAGTGGGTTCAGGCCAGAAAACTTGGGTTGTTTATACAGTGGGGCTGATGAAGAGATTTTCGGCAGACTTCAACACATTCCTGCTTTGTGCTCTGTTCCTGGAAGCAGAGGGGAACAGCACTCAGTTCTCAGCATCAGTAACAGCAGCAGCTGGTCATTGTGATGAGCGCACATGTGACATGGAGGCTGATCCAGATAATACGCCTTTATCCAACCACCCATTAGTGAGATTACGCTCACTTTTATCACATTTGGATAGACCATGAAGTCAAGGTATGACTTCATCCGTGCAGCCATGACAGCAGCTCAAGGAAAAATGAGATGCGAATGAAGGACTGCAGGGTGGAATTCTGAAGCTACAAAATTAGAAATGGATTTAGATTTTATTTGTAAATGTGTCAGTTTGAGAAGGTGTCTGATGTTGTTCCTCTTTTTGTGTGTCAGATATTGACGAATGCTCCCAGTCACCTGAGATGTGTACATTTGGAACCTGCTCAAACACTGAAGGAAGCTTCACCTGCTTGTGTCCTGAAGGCTTCCAGATCTCTGCCTCCGGACGTAGATGTTTAGGTAATTTTGTGTGTGTGAGTGTGAGTGTGTGTGTGTGTGTATACTGGTTTTGTTGCCTCTTTAAGACCTCCTCCAGTATAAACACTGACCTTGTAAGGACCAGTAGACCTCATGGGGACCAAAGCCTGGTCTTAATGAGGCAAAACATCATTCTGAGGTCCAGATAAGAGGTAAGATCATGGTTAAGGTTAGAGATAACAAACTGAGTGGGTGTGCATCAAGTGCAGAGTTTAAATTCTTGTGTATCTGCATGATGTGTCTGAGTGTTCAGCAGTCAGTGGTGTTCGACTTTATCTGCTCCTTTATGATAGCACACTGTGTTCAGGCTGCTTCTGCTGCCTCAACAAGGCCAAGGGTGGCTCTGAACAAATCACTTTTCCATTCCTGACGTGTGTGTGTGTGTGTGTGTGTGTATGTGTGTGTGTGTGAGAGAGAGTTTACGTACATCTGTGTGTTTCTGGCTTGGGTGGGTGCATACTGAGTCCTCCGTTAGGGTGTTCCCCCTCCAAACACTGAAGTGATGACATCATCAGTTCATTGAGGTGGTCTACAGTTTGTATTTCACATTTCTCCCCAGTGTCCGACGGGCTCGACCGAGGGTCGGGGGATAAAAAGGAGGAGTTGGGTGGAGAGTGAGCAATATGGGCAATAAAAGAGATCAAAGTTGACCCTGTCCCACTGAGAAAAGACTTGTTTTTGTAAGAGATGGTAATAGAGGGAAGACAATGAAGAAAATCATTATGACTACAGTGATGAAAATCATATGTAACTTTGGGTACACTCACAATGTACATGTACAAATAATCTACTCTATATATTTTTTTACATTTTTGATTGAATCTGTTCATATATAATCAAAAATAGAGAAGATATTATGAATTGTTGTGTTAATTGTGACATACAAGAGAGCTATGTGCAATGAACTGGCTATTAATGCAGTATTATAGATTATATATCGTATTCTTTATTGATCTGAGCTCTAGACTCAACTCAAGTAATATTCCCAAAAGAATAGTAAACCACAGCCAATCTCATAACACAGTGATTCAGGGAATCTTGTGTCCTGTTGCTTTTGTTGAACAGACGCCACTGAGGCAGCAAGTGACAATAATGCATTAATGCTGAAAGCACCTGACATACAGATTGAGTCAGTTACATCACTAAAGCTACCGGTCGTACCAAAGTGAGACAGTAGCTGCAAAAGCCTTTAAGTTTATTGACCAGGAATTGGTCTTTATTGCTTTTGTATTAAAGTTTAATGTTTGCATCATGCACATCCACGGAGGATGCGAGTGGAGTGATGACTGAATGAATGACTGAAAGAACGAATGAATGACACATTAACTTTGTAAGAAAACAAAAGACAAAGTCACATTTGGCCATGACAACAGTTTGTATATGTGGATCATATAGAAAGACGGGGAGCATCAAAGAGGGGTGGTGTGCATCAGTCCCTGGTTTGAATCGTACTTAGAATATTGTGATAAGAACACATTGTGTGGGTCTCAGCCTCTCGGCTGCCAGGACTCCTCAATTATTGATATGGTTCAAATTATAATGTCATGGTGGTTTTGCAAATATCCATTGTCATAACCAGAGACTGTTTGTCATTAAATATCTGTCACCACCCTCTCCACCATCAGATTTGTGTCCCCACTGTACTGATTTGAAGCACTGATTTATCTCAAACGTTATCTCTCCAATAACATGTTTGACTTTGTATGCCATTTTTCCTGTTTTATAAGATTCTGCCACTTATTCAAAGAAATCATATAGCATCGAACTTTTATGTTACCACATCTAGAAAGTACAGTATTTAAACATTTTAATGATACAGTTCATATACGATCTACAAAATGAGAATGACATATGCACGTGCTGATGCTGACACGCTGACGCTCACACACACTTGGTTACCAGCTGTGCACAAAGCACCATAAATCTCTTTTGCGGAAAGGCTGACAAATCAGTTTCATGGAGGAAAGTAACATGACACTTTTTGACATCCTCCCTGCACCACCAGGTGTCCATGCATGTGATCCTGGCCTCTGAGCCAGGTGTGTGTGTATGTTTGTGTGCGTGTCTGTGTGTGTGTGTGTGTGTATGTGCGCCCGCACGTGTGTGTGTATGTGTGATCTATGGTGGTCAGAAAGCTTATTTGTGTTGCATCCAGTGAAGGCCAGTGCTAGCAGGAGAGCACGACCATATGCTTCTTATTACAAGTAAGTGCCTGTCCAGTCCAGGAGGAACCAGAGCGAGAGAGAACTAGAGACAGAGAGAGAGAGACACTGTCAAACAATGATTGTCAACCAGCCTCTGGTATCTCTACAAAAACTTTTTACTTTGGTCAATGTACAGTAGAAACAGGTAAACACTAATGTACTGGCTGTAGCTACATGTTAAATGGGTAGACGTGGATAAAATGGCATCAGTTTCCTTGTCTTTCATCTCATCGCAACTTTCAGCAAGAAAACAAATAATGGAACTCATTAAAATATGTAAAAGTGCTGGAATAACAAAATAACAGGATGTGTTACTGCTGCTTCCATCTGTCACTCTGTCTTCTGACTCGTCATGTTCACTGTGTGTGTTTTAACCTCTAGATATCCGTGTGAACTACTGCTATACCAAGTTTGATAATGGCCGCTGCCTGGCTCCAAAGCCTCAGAACACTTCCAAGGCAGCGTGCTGCTGCACTGGAATGCCAGGTCAAGGCTGGGGAGACCCCTGTGAAATCTGCCCGAGCAAAGGAGAGGGTGCGTACTCTTCGTATCACATATACACACACACAACATATGCAGGGAAACACTTTACTGCATAAAAATAAATAATTAACATTATTTCGTGGTGTTTATGACTCTTCTCATCTCATGGTTCCAGAGGGGTATCGTCTTCTCTGTCCAAACGAGGGATATCAACAGGGGACAGACGACCACCCAAAGGGTACGAGTCTCATCGCTGAACCTTCACTGTTCTGTGTCTCTGTTACAGTTCTGGAGTGTAATTTCCTTGTTATCAACTTTTTCTCATTGTAGATATTGATGAATGTGTCAACGACCCTTGTGTCAATGGCCAGTGCATCAACACAGACGGCTCTTTCCGCTGTGAGTGTCCATTGGGATACCACCTGGACAATAGTGGAGTCAGATGTGAAGGTCAGTTCACAGTCAGTGTCTCCTCTTCCTCATCTTCCTCCTCTCGTTGTCTCTCTTACTCTCCCACACATTTTTATTCACTTGGTAAATATGAATCCAGCACTAAGATGATTAATGAGGTTTTCCTAACCGTCGTCAACACAGACACTGATGAGTGTAAAATCGGCAATCCTTGCCGCAACGGCACATGCACCAATGTGATCGGTGGGTTCGAATGTGCGTGTGATGACGGCTTTGAGCCTGGGCCAATGATGACCTGTGAAGGTATGTGACACCATGTGTGCGCTGTCACGTGCATCATGCAGTCTTTGTACGTCTGTGGTATGACTGTAACTTGTCACCTTGTGTTCCAGACATCAATGAGTGTGCCCAGAACCCTCTGCTGTGCGCCTTCCGCTGTGTTAACGTGGTTGGCTCATATGAGTGCAAATGTCCCACTGGCTACGTTCTGCGCGAGGACAGGAGGATGTGTAAAGGTGCGACATATAAATGACTCACTTATACTCACTCTCAGCTTTCGTAGTCATTGTCAGTTTAATGGAGATGTGCCAGTCCCATGCACAAAGTTACACAACGCACTATCTCTGTAAAATCCTCAAGGGTTCTCTGTCTCTTTGGAAACTCGCTATTTACACCTCCGCACTTGCAGATAGCTCGCGCACCATAGCAACGGATGTATTTGGAGGGAAGCTCTGAGACAGGAGGAACTCGTCAATGTCTATAGCGTCACTGTTTACATTAGATCTCCAAACAGACCACCAACTCTCCCACTACATGCCTGTTAGCACTCAGCATTGGATTGAGTGGTTAGATTAAAACGGCTGCGTGTACGAGTGCCTGCGTTAAATCACTGCTCTGCGTATACACCGATTTCTCCACACTTCCTCTTACTCTTTGTATTCTGTTTTTTTTTCCAGATCAGAATGAGTGTGAGGATGGTATAGATGACTGTGCCAGCAGGGGCATGACCTGCAAGAATCTAATAGGTACATACATGTGCATCTGTTCACCTGGATTCACACGCCAGCCCAACGGAGAGGGTTGCATGGGTAAGATTATTATTTTGTCACTATGTATGACATCATACACCATTACTCTGGTTCAAATCTTGGCTTAACTGTGCATAAAAATAAATCTAATTTGATATTAATCTGCTTTTTGTGTGCACACAGCTCAGAGTGTATTCTGGATTTTCTCCAGTTGTAGGAGTTGTTAACACAATGGTCTTGAGTCATTAGAGACTTTGTGAAACTCACAATAAGATAATTGTGGTGAAGCAGTGAATCTCTCTAATTATTGCCATGAAAATCAGATGGTAAGCTCTGAATATGTGCACAAAAGCAATAAAACCCCATAGTGGGGGATATTTACTTGGGAACTGTTGGTTAAAATACAGGAAACACAATTAAAAGGATGATTTGCTTGGGTAACTATCAGAGCGCAAATAATCGAACAGATTTGTCAAATGATTTGAATATAACTAAATAAAACAAAGATGTGTACGGAGGTGTTTGCAAACACTCGATCAAGGGCCATCAGATATATTGCACCTGGTTAAACTTCCACTTTAACTTTATATAATCCTGTGTAACAAATATTTCATTTTTATCTTTACACTGTGTGTGTTAGATCTGAACGAGTGTACAGCCAAACCAGGCACCTGTAAGAACGGCCGCTGTGAGAACACAGTTGGAAGCTACCGCTGCAGATGTGACCAAGGTTTCGTCGCGAACCCCACACAGACTGAATGTATCGGTGCGTATAATATGTGATTATCAATGTATCTTGGTCTCACAGTATGTTTTTCTTCTCTGTTGAGTTCATTGCTTTTTTAATGTGACATATTCCAGTTAGGAAACATGATCTTAAAGTTAAACTCCTCATATAGTGGCATCTCAACTATCCACCACTCCCAAGTGCAATATTTATTCAATTTTATCTGTGCAACTCGATATCGTCACTTGATTAAAGGATTTCTCAGTACTTGTTTATCATCTCTATATTTTGAATTCCTTGTTTATGCATATATATATATTATTTAATCTTAAGCTTAGTCTAAGCTTTCACTGGTAATTCCATTATTTTACTTTATATATGTATTGTGCTTGTAGAGTGACAATAAAGATACATACAAATTAGGTGCCCAAAATAAATTATTATATATAACACACAATTGTTGTGCAGTACCTGTACTTGGGACACATCAAAAATATCCTCTCATTCAATCTCCCATATTATTTAGTAATTTAATAATTGAATAGCCCTAAGAGTTTAACGTATCCAGAAATATGTTTTTCTTAGACACATTTATTAAAATGTTTTTTGCAGTTGAGTCTTGTTTTACTGGATGAAGCAGTCATTTTAATCTCAGTGGGAATTTAACCATTCCATGACAGTCTTGTTAAAAACCATGTGTCTGTTACTGTTAAGATAGGAGCAAGGAAATCCTCTCAAAGGCCCTATGCTAAATATACTGGGTAGACATGATGTGCTGAACTCAGTGAGAAAAGCGTCTGCGGTTCTATAGCTATCTCACTCCTCACAGACAACAGTGATAGAGCGGTGTGGGTAATCTTTTTACGTCTGGGTTTCTGAGGCCAGGTCCTGTCTGGGTGTTTTGCTTTGCTTTCTTTTTGTCAGTTTGTCTCATGGTCACACTCGTGTCTCTCTGTGTCCCTCCCACCCTCCAGATAACCGTGAAGGCTTCTGCTTCACTGAGGTCCTGACCACTCTGTGTCAGATGACGTCGAGCAACAGGAACATGGTGACCAAGTCAGAGTGTTGCTGTGATGGAGGCAGAGGCTGGGGCACCAACTGTGAGCTGTGCCCGCTGCCCGGGACCACCCAGTACAAGAGGATGTGTCCTCTGGGACCTGGATACACCACTGATGGCAGAGGTGTTAAATTAAACATAACTGAAAAATCAAAAATCAACAGCAACTTGTTGGATAAAAGGTTTTGTCATTCATGGAGCAAACAGGATTTTAAATATATTACATCTAAAACTGTTAGAACTAGTGCAGAGGCCATGTGCTCGGCCTGTGGTGATGCTGGTTGCAGCTTTCCTTCTGAAACTGTAAAGGTGACCTGCTGTCATTGAGCCTCACCGAGTAAAGATCTGCTGCAGGACTCAGTCCACAAAGATTTCTAGAATTGTTACTAGGTAGACAAACATATTGGTAGTTTCACATGATTGAGCCCTAGATGTCCTCCAACCTGGTATCCACACACTCACTTGCTCTTGGAAGCTGATTTCACTTTAAAAGCAGGTTTTTAATTGAGGCTGCGTCATTCGGAAAAAAAAAAAATCCCAGTCAGAGAAACTTTTCTGCATTGAATTTTAATGACATCTGTCATACCCACAGGGCAGCAGGAGGTGCTTTCAAAATGGTCCCTGCTCACATTAAAATTTACAATAAATAAAGCAGAGTCCAACGTGATGGATAATCTGAACAAGTTTTGGGTTAATGTTCTATGTGTAGTAAAATGATTGGAGAATATCCAGAAGTGCTGCCTGAATACTAGAGCATCTGTTACGCCTCATAAATTTATCAGCTGTAACTAGTGCACAGGAAACCACTTATTCATAGTTGCTGTTGGCTGATGAAATAACTTACACAGCATTGGTTTGCTCTTATATTTGACACAACACTGATGCACAGATAAATGCACAGAAATAAATCCATCTGGAGCTGACTCTTCTTGTTTCTGTCCAGATATTGACGAGTGTCGTGTCATGGGGAACTTGTGCAAGAACGGTCAGTGTATCAACGCTTTGGGCTCCTACAACTGCATCTGCAAACCTGGCTACACCACTGATATCAGCAGCACGCAGTGTGTGGGTAAGGCTTGATTTGATCCCCAGCACTTAACACTTTATGGACTCTTTTCGTACAGTGCCTGCCTCCTGTTCTCATTCCTGCTGTCTAGTAAAGAGCCGAAACGACGTGGGTGGACTGCCCACACACTCCTCTGAAAAATGCAGCCCGAGTCTGTCTGTCTCATCATCTCCCCTTATGGAATTTCAGGCTCAAACTCACTCTCTCTCTCTCTCTGTCTCACCCTGTCCCTTGCATTCTAGATGTGGATGAGTGCATACAAGCACCAAAGCCTTGTAACTTCATCTGTAAGAACACGGAGGGAGGCTACCTCTGTTCCTGCCCCCGTGGCTACATCCTGCAGGAGGATGGAAAGAGCTGCAAAGGTGACACCCATGAAATACACAACTTCTAAATATTGTGGCTGCTCGGCTCAGTCAAGCTCACTTGCACTCTTCCCGCTTGACTTAACTTCAAAGTTAAAGCTACAGTAGTGCTGAGAGGGGCGGGACCTGCGCCAGTGTTCTGCTCATTGTTCGAGACGCTACGTTTGTTCATGAACGTGTACGAGCCACTGACCCTGTGCATCTGTGTGTGTCAGTGTTTATCAGACTTGTTTGTGAGTCTGAACACGTTTGCTCATGAATTTTCAGGTTCTTTTTCATCTTTATTTAATGTGGCTGTAGCTCCCCCCCTCTGCTGTACCCCTCTGTGTTTCCGGTGTCTGGTTCATTTGCAGTTCATTATTAGGTCAGTGACTGTAGAAGGACTGGAATTTGATTCGGAGCAGCCCCCATACAGTAGTACATGCAATGATCTGACCCAGTTCCAACCACAGGATCATAAACACACTTTAAAACTACTACACAAATGTAGCTTGTCTTTTAAATCATTCCTTGTATTTCTCTTCCATTCCAGATCTGGACGAGTGTTCGACCAAACAGCACAACTGTCAGTTTCTATGTGTTAACACCATTGGTGGGTTTACGTGCAAATGTCCCCCTGGCTTCACCCAGCATCATTCTGCCTGCATCGGTAAATACACACACTCCACAGTCAAATATTTAGTAATCATGAATGCTACTTATACAATTATCTATGTGCTACATGACCTGAGCAAACTTGAGCTGCTTTCAGACATGCACCGAACTCGGGATAATCTCCTGACGTTCTCCATTGGGGCTGTATGTGAGACGCTCTGGACTTTCTCTGGAGTTTCTCCTGCAAGCTGCCTAGGAAGAACTCCAGGATAATGTCCGAGTGAGGCCTGGTGAGAACACAGCAGGACATCCTCCACAGGATTCTTGTTGTAAATACGTCTGACCGGAGAATCTCCTGCTGCGTTCTTCTTGTGTCAATCTCCTGAGAAAGTCTAGTCCCAATTGTGTGGACATTCTCTGGAGTTCATGTCTGAAAATGACTCTACAGTACCTTCCAGCCCAGCTCATGAAAGCCCCCTGAAGCTCCCTCTTGTCTAACTTTTACTGACTCTCATTCAGAGTTAATGGACTCTGGGTGATATCACACTGATCTAATTAGGCCGGACGGGTTTGTAGTCATGGCAGCTTAGCGATGCTTTGTTATGGAACATTGCAGTTGATCGCCGTGGCTACCAGCAGCCTTTTTTTTTCTGGACCATAAAGCAGGTCTTATGATCTCACATTAAGTCAGTGACAGGGAACTCTCAGTTTGGATGATAGGCCAATGACAAAGGTTGGAGAAACATGGGTTGGACATAAAACACAACGAACCTCAGTAACTGCTGTCCAAAAATACTGTTGAACACTTTTCCAGGAGTATTGTAAAGATTATAAAACCTCATTCTTTCCAGTACATCTGCTCTTTCTAGCGGCTGCTGCAAAGAAAAAATGTGTCCTTGTCCAGTTTGCTGATGTTTAAGGTTTCTGTTTTTCAGTCACACTTTCTGATAATGATTCTTACTTTAAAGCACCAAGTGCTTAGTGAAAGTAGATGCTCACCTCTATGGTTTTGAGACCTATTCGCCACATGTTGTCCGTTCCACCAAACAGAGATCTGAAGCTGGGAACAAATTAAAAGTCTTTTAAAAATCTAAACTAACTGTGAAAATCCAGGATCAGGCAAGCAACCATTGACATTTAGAGATTACATCTTTTCTTTGCTTTTATCTCAGTAACCAAAAAGCTACGTGATCAGGTTCAGATTTGCACCGATTCCAAACACAATTGTCAAATTGTTCGTCTTGTCTGACAAAATAAAATTAACTCAACGCTCACTTTCTACTTTTCCAGGCAAAGCAAGTAGATGTTGGGTTTAGATTATATTTGGCAGACTATTATTCCCAAAGTCAAGAGTGAGCGTTAAGATAAGAACTCTTCTGGTCTGCGGTAAGGTGAGAGATTTTATTATTAAAGGGATAGTTGTCCAATAAATGAAATTTCACTCTTTATCTACTCACCACTATGCCGATGGAGGGGTGGGTGAGGGTTTGAGTCCACAAAACACTTTAGGAGTCTCAGGGGTAAACATTGTGCAGCCAAGGCGACCTCTTCTTCAGACTAAATAAAACATCCGAAAAAACCTTTTCCTCCTCTCTGCGTAGACAACAACGAATGTGCATCTGATCCTGGCTTGTGTGGCTCCAATGGCGCCTGCCAGAACACGCCGGGGAGCTTCAACTGCGACTGCCAGCGAGGATTCTCATTAGATCCCAACGGACAAAGCTGTGAAGGTCTGAAAGCGACTGACATCAACCTCAGAATCAGCTGATACAGAATAAAGGATGTTACAGTCGTGTTTTGTGTGTTTGTCACTGACAGATATGGATGAGTGTGATGGAAACCACAGATGTCAGCATGGCTGTCAAAATCTGGTGGGTGGATACAGGTGCAGCTGTCCTCAAGGCTACCTGCAGCACTACCAGTGGAACCAGTGTGTGGGTGAGTTAAACCACTGCACCACTTTTTATCTGCAAATATAAAAATTCTTTCCTTTCAGAGCATCCTGGTGAAAGTATGTAAAATTCAGCCTGGATGTTCTGGGCTGGAGTCCGACCTGGAACCTTTTTAAAACAACATCTCCATCCTTCACCTCTTTTCAGCCGCTGTTAAAATAAGAATATGTCCAAAATATGTTCCTCTGGAATTTCAACCCTTCCCTGAGAAAAGGAAATGTTATGTTTGAATGCTCATTATCAGCTTATTAGATTTCTTATTCTGAACAAGAACCGGAAAAAGAAAAAGATTATAAGAAGTGTTTGTAACAACCTTTTAAAAACAGAGCAAGTTGTCGTTCTTCTTTCTGCTGTTTTACAATTAACAATTTTCATTTAATTAGTCAAACATGAAAAGTTCAGTGTCAATTAGTACATAATGCAAAATTAAGCCAAATGTATAACTATCTTCATTAGCCTGTCTGCTTCTCATGGTTGTAAACAGATTCTATTGGCGCCAATTCTATTTCCCCCCATTGTAGTAAATACAGACAGAAGGGAAACGACAGGGAAGTGAAGGAAACGGTCAACAAGAGAGAGAGAGAGAGAGAGAGAGAGAGGGGGGAAAGGTTGAAAGATATAAACAGCCGTTTCCACTCTCCACCTCCTGCTGCTGAGGGATTATTGTGAAGAATTAAATTAAAAACAAGTTATGCTTTATTTGTGATGACAGTTTAGTTTTGTACAAAAGTATGTTTAGCCTTTATCCACAAATAAAATGTGTTGTTATCCAAGTGACAAGACCATTATTAAAGCTCAGTTTTTAATTGTCTAATTATGCTGAAATATGGTGTTGACAAGAGAGAATGGGCTTATGAAAAATATCTAACTCGAAAAGGACACAACGTCTTTTGAAAGTGGGGATGAAAAACAAATGAGGATGGTGCAACATCAAAATCTTTTAGTACTTAGAATGATTTGTATAGTTTAGGCACAGGCAGGAATTGTGTGTGTGTGTGTGTGTGTGTGTTTCTCATTATGCTCCAAAATAACAAGCTTCTGTTGATTAGGCCTCTATTTTTTATGTTATCAGAGTTTATCAGTATTGTTTGTGTCCTTTAACTGGAATGACCTCTTGCTTGTTTACTTCCTGTCACATTTCTGTGACCCAGATGAGAACGAGTGCTTGAACAGCCAGATCTGCGGGGGAGCGTCGTGCCACAACACCCTGGGGAGCTTCCGCTGCCTCTGCCCCACTGGCTTCAACTACGAGCAGGCCGGAGGCTGCGCGGACATCAATGAGTGCTCCACCAGCCAGAACCCCTGCAAGTTCGGCTGCTCAAACACAGACGGCGGTTACCTCTGTGGATGTCCCAATGGGTACTTCCGTGCAGGACAAGGGTACGTTCTGTTAGAGCCTGACTCTGTGTGGAAGGTGTCTGTAGATGTTTCTAGTTGACTGATGGTTTCGTCTCTTGGTTCAGGCACTGCGTGACGGGTCTTGGCTTTACTAGCGGTGGCTCCAGCGGCGGAGAAGGAGGCGAGGCGGATGATAATTCCCTGTCTCCTGAAGCCTGCTATGAATGTAAGATCAATGGTTATCCCAAGAAGGGACGCAAACGTCGCAGCACCAACTCAACACAAGAGGATCCTATGGAAGACAACCAGGTAATTTGTCTGTCTCTAGCTGCCGTTTTTGACTGGACCACAATGGACTTACAAAGTAGTATGTGTATAATATTCTGTTTCTGAAGAAAATAATTAAACTCAGTAGAGCGCATAACTTCAATAGTCCCCTGAAAAAAACAAACACACACCAGTGAAGACATAACCTCCTTAGCTGATGTAATAACTTTAGGTTCGACTTATTATCTCTGAGCCTGGCAGTGTGGATCCAGCTGAATGATTTGATAGATCTACTATAAAGAAAGATTTTACCCTTTTGAATAGAATATAACTCGTGTGGTGTCAGTGCAGCAGGTCAGAGCCGTTGATCCTTCATATGTTGCCAAGGATGCATTTGTATTCACACAGCAAAAAGAATGTGGCCACATGCTTCCCAGACCACCTCCCAATGTGGTTTTTATGATTAGATCTCAGGATGCGCTTGGGTGTGTTCAGACCTGAACTTAGCGCTGATCACTTGTGGTCTTATCCCTCGGGACAGATGTTAATATCAGGTCTGAACAGGCTCAGTCTCTCTTTATTAAAGAAATGGCACCGTAGGTCTTGTATCAGTAAATTCAGACTGTTTTTTCTGTAGCTGACTGAGGAGGTGGTAAGTCTGGCCAGTGTGGACATCGAGGACACCCTGCAGCTCCACCTCAACATCAGCGACCTGAGTAACCGCGACCACATCCTCGAGTTCACCCCGGCCTTGTCCACCCTCAGCGAACACGTGCGCTACAGCATCGACTATGGAAATGACGATGGCTACTTCAAGATCAACCAGAAAGAGGGCGTCAGCTACCTGCATATGAGCAAGAAGAAGGCCCTTCCCCCAGGGGCTTACGACCTGCAGATTAGCAGCATGCCCCTCTACAAGAAGAAGGATCTGGCTGAGCTGGAGGACCAACACGATAAAGACTACCTCACAGGACAGCTGGGAGACATACTGAAGATGAGGGTGCAGCTCATCCTCCATTAACCATCACGAGACTGAGGCAGGCAGATGTTGCCAGTGGCTGCTAATCCAGGGTCAGGCTCACGCTCCCCGAGAAAAAAAAAAAAAAAAAAAAAAAAGGCCAAACATGTCTGACTCTGGGTCAGTGGTTTAGGGGCAACTTCTACTTGCTCCGACAGGGAGAAGAGCTCGCCACCAAAGAGACAAGAAGGGGGGTGGGGGGATGGGGGGGACCGTGTCATTTGATTGCCAAAGATGATTCTACATATCATGCGTATACAATATCTGTGGAAAACACCAGCTGAATGAGGCCGTATGACGCTTTTCATTCCAATGAAGAACGCATCGCCCTGACACACGTGCACAGACATGTGTGACGCACTATTGAGAGTGTGAATGGTTTTTAATTGTGGGGTTTAATGTTCTATAATGATATGTGGAATCAGGTGCCGTCCGAAGGGCTTGTGGACTGCAGGAAGCTTGAAACGCTGAGTTTTTATTTTTATTTTATTTTTGTTTAGAACTCAGCTTAGGTGGAAGAAAAGGGTGAGTCCCAATAGTCTGCAATAAATTAATTTCCTCCCCTCGTGGTCAACGACTGAACCAACCTGGACACACGGAAGTTAACACATTTCTCCGTCCCCATAGATTAACTTAACAGAGCGGAGATAAAAGAAAAAGATTGAGAATGGTCAGGAGAGGAAAGGAACCTACGCTGGACTATTGAGATGTAGCCATGTCTGAGCTTGAATGACTCCTACTGCATATTTAAACTACGCTTTTCCATCTTTCCTACTGACTAGAATAATTCATATTTACTGGTGCTAGCAACACGCCCACATAGACTTCTGAATGCACTGTGCTACTATACAAAACTCAGTAGTAAACAAGATACAATCCCGTCGGCCATTCTGAAGGTTTCCTGTCTTTGCGACCGTTAACAGCTCGCTTCATAGCCTGTCCGCTCTCCTCTATACTACATGTAAATTGTGTTTATACTGTAATAATCAATGCCACTTTTAATCTATGAAGCATTTGTAAACTAGAGGAAGCCCCTGGAATAGAGGGGTTTGTAATGGTGCTTATAATGACCAACTACTTCCTTTGTAAACTGTGTATACATACACACGCCTGCACACATACACACAAACAAAAACACACATTGATGATGCCAAACCTGGGCGTTCATGATTATGCACTGAGGTCTGCGCGGCCACACATTCTCTCACAAGTACAATCAGTGCAGCATTGCCATGGACCAGCCTGACACCAGTCTGTGTTCCCTGTTCACATCAGTGAGGGTTTAGTTGTAAATTCACAATAAAAACATATTTTTGGTGTATATGTATTTACTGCTGTGTTTTCCCCTTCATCCAGATTTGATTTGGGTTATTTAAAAGTTCAACAGGCAGCGGCGAGCTTCTTCTGTCCTGTGCAACATGATCTCTGAACAAAGTGAGACTTGCCTCACTCTAGTGGTGTCTTGTCCTGCACTGCCCCCATGTGGAGACTTGTTTTTTTTTTTTTTTTAGCTCAAACGTGCTCAACACTCGCAGTAACACAACTAAACTCACCAACGTAGAAAAACAGAACTTTATTGACACCTTGTTTGTATATTTTAGACATATGTATATTTGCATCACAGTGTGTCAGTTGCGTCCAGTTGATCCGAAGCCTCCAACCCCACGCTCCGTCTCATCGAGCGCCTGAAAGACAACACACAGATTACAATTACTGACGAACCCTAGTGAAAACAAACATCCATTTAACACCTAACAAGTATTCACGTGCTTGACCTGAGAGACATACAACACTTTAAATGTATTACATGTACAGCTTCTTACCTCCTGCTCGATCAGATCTGGGTAACAGATCCTCTCACACACCAGCTGAGCTACTCGGTCGCCCTTTTTCACTGGCGGGAGGGGGAGAGAAAGGTCATGAGACATCAGAATGTGGACGGCATTAAAAATGTTGCCTTGATCGCCACCACCACCAGAGTGAAAATGAAATGTGGTGGAGAGTCGAAACAATAATTTTCAGATTACTGTAAATTATTTGTTCTAAATTAGATTAATTTACATTGAGGCGGTTTCTGTTTGTATGTAGTTTTTGTTTAATTCTGCAGATTCAAACTTCCCACGTGTTAAGCCGTGAATTATTCGTACTCACTGTCGGTTACGTGAATACGACTTATTAATTCGACTGGTGCCACGACTCACCCTCAAACTTGTCCTTGCTGAAGTTGAAGAGCACAACTCCAACATTTCCTCTGTAGTCTTCATCCACGACTCCAGCTGAGGAGAACATCCGCAGACGCGATGAGACAGGGGTTCGAATATAAAGGTTTGAATCTTGAGTAAAAAAATGTAAGAAAAATACTCACCACCAACATCGATGAAGTGCTTCGCTGCCAGACCAGATCTCGGTGCTGAGAAGGGAAAATAGCGAGAGAAAGTTATGGCCTGTTGTTCTGCAACTGAGGAAAACCAAAAGACCAAGCAGGAAAACCGTGTAACAGCACACAGCTGCAGGGTTTCATCCGAAAGTCAAACTCACCCACTCTCCCATAGCAGCCGTGTGGAACAGCGATCTGGATGTCTGTCTTCACGATGGCCTTGTCCATGGCACCGATGGTGTAATCGTACGCGCTGTGGTACATTCACAGAGTTTAGGTTAGCTAATTTGCATGAGCACATGACAGATGTGTGTGAACAGGGCAGCATCAAGTAGATTTAACCTCTGTAGGAACATATGCTGAATGTTTACCACAAAAAAAGTTGCATTCACAGATGATTTCAGTCAAAGACTTTATATCTAAAAAAAATTAGAGGAACACTTCAAATAATGGCATAAAGAATCCAGCTCCTCGACGTGGTTTGAAAAATGAAACAGGCCTTCATCCGGGTGTGTTCACTCTATATCAAGGATTACTGCCATCAAGAGACTCGAGTTAAACCGTGCACATGTAGCTCACGTTCACACATAATGATATATATACTTAGATTTTAAGACTAACCTGTAGAGATCGTATCCTGCAGCTTTGGTGGAACCTCTGGTGGGGGTCGTCGCATGCTCGGACAGTTTCGCAAACCTGAGGACGGATCTGTCTCCTGCAGGCTTCGTCTCTGTCCTCGTCCTCTTTGATGGAGAAACCTCACACGCGTCTCTTCCCTCTAGAGTGGGCATGTTGTTCACAGTCAGACCTCACACGGAGCAGATTCAACACACTGTGAATGTTAACCAGCGCGGAGCTGCAGCTGATCCCTGCTCAGTTTCAAACTGATCTTTCTTGGCGGTTTGAATGAAGGGATCTCCCGCGCCGGAGGTGGCTCCTCCCCAACATTACGCAAACTGCGTGTTCTTAAAGAGACAGCGCGTGAGCGTTAGCTAACATTAGCTTATATGAACCAACTTCAGCTTCTGTTTACCACGTGTTCAATGTGAATCGTTTTAATTCGCAGGTTCAATCTGCGAGGGAGATGGTTTGGTCTGTTACCTTGGCAACCGTAATTTACTAGCACGCGCCAAAGAACACGTTCTCGCGATGGTTGCCGAGAAGCGAGAACTCACGAGCAGAGAAATGTTAAATATGATAAACACGTTTTGAGAATATTATCCGTCACGTTACTTACGCATCTCAGCAGAAATAAAAACAGACGCGGAGAAAGCGACAACACAAAAGCCCCAGCGGTCAGTGGACGTCACACAATGCTAGGCTAGCGAAGCTAACGGGAAGTAGCAGAATCCATATTGTCGTTGCTCGCCTTTGTTCGGACGAAGCGTCTGAGACTTAAATGTTCGTCCTGAGAACCGAGGAGCAGCGTCAGGGAGCGAGGAGCGAAGCAGCAGCAGAACCCGGAGCTTCATCATGCTGAGGCCAGCGTAAGCTACATGCTAACATCAACTACATGCTAACAGCTGGGACAACACGTCCTGACAGCTGAGCTCCG